TCCTTCCTTCCTTCCTTCCTTCCTTCCTTCCTTCCTTCCTTCCTTCCTTCCTTCCTTCCTTCCTTCCCTCCTTCCTTCCTTTCTGTCTTTCTTTCTTTATTCAGGGATGGAATTCAGGTCTGTGTGCTTGCAAGGCAGTCATTTCACTGACTACCCTTTTGATGTGGCCTAGAACTCAGTCTCCCCAAGTAGGGGAACCTGGCTGGCCAATGAGCCCCAGTGAGCCCCCCATCTCTCTCTCCCTGGTGCTGGGATTATAATTGTGCACCAACATACACAGTGTTTTCCATGGGTCCTGGGGAATCGAACTGAGGTCCTCATGCTTGCAAGCACTTTACAGACTGAGCTGTCTTCCCAGCACCACACATCTTCATCTACATGAGCCTTTAATTCTTGCAGTTTAACTGGTGGTCAGAGTTTAGATGAAGCCTGCTTCAAGTCAACAGAAGGAAAGGTGACACCAGATCTCTCTGTCACTTCTGTCTGATCCCAGTGCGGGCGTCTTAGGGACCTGAAGATTAAAGTCCAGTCTGGGCCTGGGACAGGTGGGGCTGAGGAAGGGACTGGATGTGCCTGTTTTCCAGACAGCGTGTGGCCGAGGGTCAAAAGGTGTCCGAGCTGGCCTGCGTGTCTTGTGATTTGCTCTCTGCATCTGCGGCTGCCCCATCCTGTGACCGTATTAGTCTCTAGGGATTTCATAACCTTGCCAGGTGCTTTCCTGCGGGGATCGCCAGCCTCACTGGGCAGATGAGAAAACAAGAGCACTGACTGGAGAAGACTCAGTTGATGAAATGCTTGCTTAGTGTGTGAAACCCGGGTTTCACACCCTAGAATCAAACAAACAAATGTGGAGATGCTCTCTGTCATCCCAGGAGGCAGGAAGGTTAGAAGTCCAGCATCACTCTTGGCTATACAGTGAATCATAGCTAAACTCGGGTGTATAAAACTGTCTCAAAATAAAGGGGGTGGAGGAGAGTGAGAGAGAGAGAGAGAGAGAGAATATGAGGCCAACCTCAGCTATTGTTATTTAGGCACCATCTGTGTGCATGTCTCTCTGTCTCTCTTAGTCTCTGTCTCTCTTAGTCTCTGTCTCTGTCTCTGTCTCTCTCTCTCTGGAGCTGACCAATTAGGCTAGGCTGGCTGACCAGCAAGCCCCAGAGATCTGCCTTTCTCCGCCTTCCCAGCACTGGAATTACACGCACTTACCACCATTCTTGTCCTTTTTAAGTGTGGGTCCTTGAGCTTGTCAAGCAAGCTCCTTACCAACAAGTCCATCTTCCCCAGCTCCAATTTGGGCTTTTCATTCTGGGTAGAGATCCTGAGAGGAAGAGCAGTAAGGGATCAGTTTGCAACTGGTAACCACCTGGCCAGGCTCTGGCAGAGGAGAGAGAACAGGTAGAGGAAGGAAGGGCCCCCAGAGGAAGGAGGTCCAATGGGAAGCTGGGGAGGTCAGTTCAAGGTTTCCCATGATATCAGAGCAGAAACCAGGGCTGGAGGAAGTGAGGTTGCCTGCTGGGAGTTACCCAGGTGCCACAGGCCCTTGCCAGCTCACTAATTCCCATGCTGTCTTCCAGGCCCAGAGGCTGTTGAGCCCTAAGAGGCCCCACCGGTCCTTCTTTGAGTCCTTCATCCGGACGCTCATCATCGTGTGCACTGCCCTGGCTGTGGTCCTCTCTTCGGTCTCCATCTGCGATGGCCACTGGCTCCTGGTGGAAGACCGTCTATTTGGGCTGTGGTACTTCTGCACCGTCAGCAACCACAGTGAACCAGACTGCATGAGAGACCTGAGCCAGGCTCACGTGCCGGGGCTGGCTGTGGGCATGGGCCTGGCACGCAGTGTGGCCGCCTTGGCTGTGGTGGCTGCCATCTTTGGCTTGGAGCTGCTCATGGTGTCCCAGGTGTGTGAGGATGTCCGCTCACGACGCAAGTGGGCCATCGGTTCTTACCTCCTGTTGGTAGCCTTCATCCTCTCCTCCGGGGGGCTCGTCACCTTCATGATCCTCCTCAAGAGTCAGGTCACCCTCATGGGCTTCACCCTGATGTTTTGGTGCGAGTTCACGGCATCCTTCCTCTTCTTCCTCAATGCCACCAGCGGCCTTCACATTAACAGCCTCACTCAGCCCTGGGACCAGCTAAGAAAAGTCTAAGGCCCCTCCAGGGGGTGCCTTGGCTTCTATAAGAAAGTGTGGCCATGAACGGATGTCTCGGACAGGACCTCTGGCTGGGATTGAGTGGGACGATGGTCTTGAAGTTGCCTCCTAGACACTGAGCTCTAGAAGTGGCCCTGGAGGGAGTGGGGGGGGGGCTCTTCAGCTGCCCTCCAGGCCAGCGGCCAGAGGATCGCCTCAGAACCATAGCACAGCAAGCTGTAGAGGTCAGCCAAGCTATTAAGATGTCAATTCTAAAATAAGAAGAATGTTCTAAAACTTCCTCCTTGGGTGTTTCCTTCCCTGGACTGGAATAGACTTTGAAAGACACCAGCTGTCTGTCTGTTCCAGGCTGGCTGCCCGGCTAAGTAGGGTTCACACCTGTTTCATTGATATCACTGGGATGTGTGTATGCTGGAGGGGCCCTGGGACACTTTTTATTTTTCTTGTGTATATGTATGTGCCGTGTGCGTGCGTGCGTGCATGCGTGCGTGTGTGTGTGTGTGTGTGTGTGTGTGCATCTTCACATGCATATGTGCGTGTGTGTGTGTGTGTGTGTGTGTGTGTGTGTGTGCATCTTCACATGCATATGGGATCATGTATGTGTGGATGCCCATGCAAATGTGTACATATGGAGATCTGAGGTTGATGTCTGCACTTATCCTCAGTTGCTTCTCCACCTTATTCATTGAGGCAGGGTCTCTCAATCAAACCCAGAGCTCACCTGCAAGGCTAGTCTCACTAACCAGCTTGCTCTGGAGACGTCCTGTCTCGGCTTCCCAGGCTGGAATTACAGGTGAGCCACCACACCATCCAACATTTATATGGGTTCAGGGATCCAGACTCTGGTCTTCTTGCTTGCATGGCAAGCACTTTAACCACAATCTCCCCAACCCAGCCCTTGGGACCCTTGAGGTTTCTAGAATGACTCAGTCCTCTATCTAAGAGAGCAGTCAGTGGCTAGGACCTTCTCCCATCTGCTCACTCAGGGGGCTTTGCACACGTTGCCCTGGCTTTAGCAGGATTCCCCCAGGAAGCCTTTTGAATAGTAGATTTTCAGTCTGTTGATTTACAGTCCTCTGTGTGGGCCCACAGGTTCTGGAACACCCCAGTTTCTAGAAGCTGGCCGTCCTCCCTGTGGCTCAGTTTGAAGTCTTCCTTGAGCAACATCCCTGAAAGAGTGCTCAGGTAATTTCTAACATAGTCTTCCCTGAGGCCAGTTTACACTCAGGACTGTTTGTGAGACTGACTTTTGTAAGGGTCAGGTGACCTCAGAGTCCGTTTCTGATCCTGGAACACATTTCAAAGAACACATGCTTGCACTGCCCAACTGCCCAGCGGGTGAGGGGACAAACAGATGTTGAGTAATAATTAACAGCTTGCAGGGGATAGGTGGAGGTGAAAGGAGTCAAGAACCAGTGATTTCCATACTCATTGGAAAAAACTGTGCTCCCCCTCCCCACTGTGTGTGTGCACATATGTGTATGTGTGTGCATGTGCATGCATGTGTGTACAGGTGCGCGTGTGTGCATGTGTGTACAGGTGCACGCGTGTGTATGTGCATGCCTGTGTGTGCAGGTTGCATGTGTGTATGGGTGCATGTGTGAGCACCAATGTGTGGAGGCCAGAGGCTGTGTTGTTTCTCAGATGCTATCCACTTTTTTTTTTAATTTTTGTGTTCGGATGTGGGCATGCACACACCCTGGCACACAGGTGGTTTAGAGGTCAATATTCCCTATTGATTTTCACCTTTCATTTTGTTTGAGACAGGGTCTGTTTGTTGTTCTCAGCTGCACATGCTAGGCTATCCAGCCTGCGAGCTTCCAGGGATTCCCTGCCTCTCTTTTTCCACCCTATGAGGACGGTGATTGCAGATGGGACCACTACTGTGTCCAGCTTTATGTGTGTGCTGGGAATCCAAACCTGGGTGGTCAGGTTTGTGTAGCAAACATCCGCCTGGCCCCATTTTATTTTTCGAGATGGTCTCTCTCTGGTCTGGAATCTGCCAGCTAGTCTAGATTGGCTAGCCAGTGGACTCCAGAGACCTCTGGGTCTCATCTCTCCAGAGCTGGGATTACAAGGACATGCCACCATGCCCACCCTTTATTACACTAGTTCTGGAGATTGAACTCAGGTCCATGTGCTAGCAAGGCAATTGATCGACCAGCTGAGCCTTCCCCTTGGCCCCATATCTGATTGCTCATTCTGTTGCCCCATTTCTAGTTTTACCACCCAGAAATAAGTGCTTTCTTATATATTCTGTGAGGTCCATTTCTCCTCCAGCCACTGAGTGGGTTTTTAGACTTTGCTCTGATCTTGTCACAAGGGTCCCCTCCAGGGCTAGGTGTATACACCTGTGATGATTTCTTTTCTGCTGCTGGGAACCAGACCTAGGTCCTTCTACACTAATCAAATATTTCACCACCGAGGGCCCATTTTACTTTAAGACAGATATTGCCCAGGCTGATCTCTGTTTTATGGGCTCATGTGATCCTTCTGCCCCAAGTAGCTTCTATTGTGATGTTGTACACGTACGTATACATATTCACATGTGTACAAATATCTGTGTGAGGGTGCACAGGCATGTGAAGCTCAGAGAGCAACCTTATGTGTCATCCTCCAGGAAACCATATACCTTGTTTTTGAGACAATGCCCCTCACTGGCCTTGAACTCACCAAGTGTGCTTTCCTGGCTGGCCAGTGAGTCCCAGGAACCTCCTGCCTCTGTCTACCACCCAGAACTGGGATTGTAGGCCTGCATAGCCACACCAGGCTTTTACACAGGTTCCAGGAACTGAACTTGAATTGTCATCCACTTTGCCCACCAAGCCATCCCTCTAGCCCCTTCTATAGTGATTTTAAATATCTTTATTTTACTTATGGTTATGTACACATCATGCGCGCATGTGGGGGTTGGAGAACAACTTTGTGGCATTGGTTTTCTTTCCACCTTTCCATGGGTTCCAAGGATCCAGTTGAAGCCATCATGCTTGCTCTCACTGGCCCGAGCCACTTCTCTAGCCCCGATTTTTAGGCATCTTTATTCCAGTTGAGAGTCACGAGACTACACATGCTAAAGCTGAACCACCACTCTTCAGAGACGTTGGAGAGCCCCAGAACCAGATGTTTGGTTGGTTGGTTTGCTTGCTAGCTTGTTTATTTATTTTGCAATGCTAGGGATCACTCATATCCAAGGCCTGGTACTCTCCAACTGACTCATATTGCCATCTCTACCTGAGGCGTTTGTGGGGGGCTGTTTGGTTTTTACCAAAATCAGAGTCCATTGACCACCCATGCTGGGTCTCAGCCTGGAAAGGGGTTCTGCAGCAGCCTGCAAGATGCAAACGGGAGGCCGTATCTCCATTTCTGCTTAGGTTTCCCTGTTGGGTTTTGTTTTGGAAGAAGGTTCAAACATTTCATCCATCAATGGAGTCAAGGAGCGCAAATATTGAGGCGTGGAGAGCCAGTGTTACAGAGGCTCAAAGTACAGGGCTTTTGTCCTTCCCTGTTTGAGAGCTAGAAAATCACCACCTGCCTTGAAGCTCAGGCATTCAGATTAAAAGACAATGCACTAGGGTTCCATGGGACGTAGCTCAACTGGTAAAGTGCTTGTCTTTTATGCATGAAACCATGAGTTTGACTTCCAGGACCACATAAACCAGGCTTGGTGGTGCACACCTGTAATTCTAGCTCTTGGAAAGCGAAGGCAGAAGGATCAGAAGTTCAAGGCCGTCTTCAGCTACCTAGGGAATAGCAGACCAGTCTGGGTTACATGAGACAGTCTCAAAATAAGACATCCATACGATTGCCAAGTAGCTTGGGAAAGCCTTGGGCCTTCGAGGAGCTGTCTCCCATCCACAGAGAGCATGGCTTTCTTTCTGATGTAGCTGCTTTCCATGGACTCCTTACCCCATATCAGGGACAATGAAAGGGAGGCTTCAGATGCCCCGTGATGTCATCAGCTTAATTTGGCTGCTGTCCTGAATGCTGTGTGACAGTTCTAGGGCAGATGAGTTGCAGTAGGGGACAGACAAGATCTGTCTAAGGCCAAGGGTCTTGATTCCTCCTATTTTATGAGCTTCTAAGCTTGTTCTTAAAAGTCAGCTGGGATTTGGGGGCAGGGGATCTCCCTCCTCCTGCAGGGAGAAATTGGGAAGTGGTCTAGAACATACTACCTCCCCAGGTGACAAAAGATCAACACACAGAGACTAGGGTTTTCTAGCTGTCACTTATTCCCCGGCCCCTTCTGGAGCCCCTGAGTTGCTCAACTCAGAACAACAAAGACCAAATCACAGGCCTGTTTCCTGCTCCATGTTGACCCAGTCCTGCTTCATTCTGAGGAAGCTCAGACCTGGAGGAAGGCTCTGTCAGCTACTCGAACACAAAATGGCTGTTAGGCAGATAACCGTCCTACTGAATGTCCAACCTTTGTCCTGTGCCAGCCATGCTGCAGCCTCAGATGACGCTGGCCCTGTGGGTGCTCCGGCTCTGCTCCGAGGTGCTGGCCTTGCTGCTGTGGGTGGGACCACTGGTGGCATTGCTGAAGGAGTTGCTGAGGGCCACAGGACGCAGAGGGAACTCTTGGAGGTGCCACTGGCGCCATTTTTTCTGAACTTCCAGCTGCACCTGCCAGAGATCGGCCATCAGCTGCAGCAGTCCCTTAAGAGGGAAGGGACAGGCCTGTGCCTAGAACCTGACTCACTAGTCTAGCTGCTCTCGTGGCCCTGCTGTGACCCCTTGCCTACAGGTCTCTGACTGAGCATTCCCTGACCTATGTATAGACGGTACTGAGGTTCCTTTCTACCCTGGGCACTTGTACATGCCATCTTTATTTATTTAGAGAGAGAGAGTGAGGTGTGAACACACGTGCAAGCCATGACATTCTTGTGAGGGTCAGGGGACTGCTGAAGCGCTCCTTCCACATCAGTTCTGGGGACCAAAGTCAGGCTTAGGAACAACCAGGTTCACCCGCTGAGCCATTGCACCTTCTAACACTGCGTTCCTCACAAGAGGTGTGAGAGTTGCTCCATAAACTACAGAGCCAAGTGTCCAAACCTGCGTGCTTGTTCCCAGAGCCCCCTCGCCCCAGGGGATCTGGGGGTTTGCTCTGTAGACATTTCCTCTATGGTTCCCAATGGAACATTCCACCTCTGAATTCAGGTTTGATGCATGATTTTTGGGAAACATCTGAGGTCATTCCCATTCAAGCGTGTGAACCAGACGGATTGGCCAATAGCCACGGAGACACTTGGCTTGAGTGCAGTACCTATTTAGCCAGGGTCAGTGACTGTGGCCTCAAATCCTGAAACCTTAGGCCCTGCCCAAGGCCGGGGCAGTTCTGAGTGACCCACTTCACTCATGGGATGACCAATCTCCGGGTGGGAAGTGACCCAGGTCACCCACAGAGCCAGCGGCACAATGGCCAGGAACTTGGCTTCTGAGTGGGCCCTGGTCTCTTCTGGGTTTGCTGAGCTTGCTTGCCCATGGATAAGAAGCACCTAGAGAGTCTGGTAAGGAACACTTCACAGGGCCAGCTCACACCCACAGAATCCATTTCTGGTGGCTCTAGCCTGGGGGCATTGCCCAAGATGTGATTTAGCACATCCCCAGGTGACTCTGCCAGGCAAGCAGACCTGCCCCAGCCCCCTTCCCATGCCCCTCCCACTGCTCTCTCCAGGGAGCCCCTGCATTGGAATTCCAGGGTTCCCCAGGACACTCACCTCACCATTGAGGAAGCAGTAAAGGATGGCTACCACCAACCCCTAAAGAAGGAACTGCGAGTTAGTCCATGGGTTGTAGACTTGGCTTAATCCTTCCACTTGCTCCTGCATGCACACACACACACACACACACACACACACACACACACACACACACACACACACACACAAGCACGCACTGCCCACCCCATCTCTGTCTCTCTGTCTCTGTCTCTCTCTCTCTCTCATACCTTTCATTCAGCCTTGGGGAATTTCCTACTTTGGGGCCCATAGTACCCTGATGTGTCTGCCTTGTTCAACACAGAAGGAGTCATTTTTAGCTACAGACCCTGAGGCCTAGCACATGGCCTCCAACTCCTGTGTCAGTGGCAGCGATGAGAGAAGAAGAGCTTCTGACTCAGGCCCTGTTCAGATCTCTGGAACTGATAAAGAGAGCCATGCAGGATAGCAGAGACAGGAGGTCCCTGAAGTATCACTCCCACCCCATCCGATAGTGAGGGGCAAGGTCACTCTAGTGGGAGATTCTGGGCTCACAAGGAAGGTGACCTGATTCCTACTGAAGAACAGACGTGTGGTCAGGGCAAGGTATGCGCAGGTCTGTTAGCAGGTGGGTGCAGCCCTGGGGTCCAGGCTGTGTCTCCTGACTTAGAGGGCGGGGTTTATCTGGACCTTCTCTCAGAGCTCCTGTTTTCCGGATGGTGTACCCAGGGTTCCAGCATGCACCTGGGCCAGGTGAGGGATGTCAGTCTGCAATGCCTGCAAAGCCGTGGGTAATGTGTGATGGCCTCTACTGACTGACAACTTGATGGAGGCCAGCATCTCCTGGGAGGAGAACCTTCGAGCATGCCTATGAGGGGTTTTCTAGATGAGTCAAGGTAGGAAGACTCTCCCCACATATAGGAGGCACCACTCTGTCCATTGCAGAGTAAGTCAGCTGAGCACCACAACGCCACCAGCTGCCTCAGGTCCTGTGCCAAGATTTCTCCACCACCATGGGCTGTACCCTTATAACTCCGAGGCAAAATAAAGGCTCCTCCTTCCCTACACTTTTCCTGTCATGCTGGCTGCTTTATCACAGCAACAGGAAGTAACCAATCCACGGAGAGCCTGTTCCTTTCCTCCCTTAGAGCCCACCTCCCCATTCCACCTTCCTTACAGGCCAGCCCTCCAGCTCCCCAATAACCTTCCTCTCCCAAAGGCTTCCATATTCAGCTTAAAACTTCAGCTGGCCTAGCCCCCTGCTTTGGCTTTTAGCTACTTACCGTACTGAAGGACCCCAGAGGGTAATGGACCTGCCCATCCGTGGTGGTCTTAATACAAACAAGTGCTCAGGAATATTGGCTTTGTGAGGTGTGTGTGTGTGTGTGTGTGTGTGTGTGTGTACATGTGTGTAAGTGCACATGTGTTGACTGGTAAAGGCCTCCAGTCAACAAGTCAACACTGGTCCTTACTCAGGTCTCCTCATGCTTTTTTTGAGACAGAATTTCTCACTGAAACAAAGACTCTGAATGACCAGACAGTCTGGTTAATGAGCTCCTGGGGTTCACCTGTGTCTGTCCCCTCAATGCTTGGATTACTGGCACCCCCACCCCAGCTTTTTACAGGGATTCTGGGGATTCTAACTCAGACCCTCTGCTTGTGCAGTGAGCACTTTGCCCACTGAGTAATCTCCCATGGCTGTTTTTGAAGGGGGCAGAACTTGAACACATGGCCCATGCATGCTAAGCACATGTTCTACCATGGAGATACAAAGCCAGAACAATCTGGTGTGTTTTTTTCTTTTGTTGTTGTTGTTGGTAGTGGTGGTGGTAGTGTATATGTTTTTTCTTGTTTTTTTTTTTTGAAATAGGGTTTCTCTGTATAGCTTTGGAGCCTATCTTGGCACTTGGCACTTGGCACTTGCTCTGTATACCAGGCTGACCTTGAAATCACAGAGATCTGCCTGCCTCTGCTTCCCAGTTGCTGGGATTAGAAGTGTGCACCACCAACACTGGCTGTGTTTCTTTTTTAGAGTTTTATTCCTATGTGCAGTTATGTATACTTTTGTATATGTGTGTATGCTACCTGTGCTCAGGTATCTGTGGGAGACAGAAGAGAGCATCAAATTCCCTAGAACTAGTTACCCAGCGATTGGGAGCAGCCTAATAAGGATGCTGGGAACCAAACTCAGGTCCTCTGCAAGAGCAATAAGAATTATTAACCACTGAGCCATCTTTCCAGCCCATGGCCCCATCTCTTGCTACATTTTCTAGGATGGTTGATAGACGCAGGTTCATTCTGTTATTCTCTTCCCTTTGGTATGTGAAAGAAACTTTGATATGTTTATATTTGAATACACATGTATATATGGAAACATATACATGTTTCATTTAGTGTATTTGTACGCATAAGAGCAAACACACACATTTTGAGGGACAGAAACTCATAAGTCACTGGCTGACTTGTAACTTTCAGTATAGCCCAGGTTGACCTAGAATGTGAAGTTATCTTCCTGCCCCTGCCTCCCAAGGGGCATGTGTACCAAGCCCAGATATTTACATGTTTTTAATGACCTCATTTATAAGCAAGTCCATGGGACATTAAGAAAGCATTTTTGTTTGTTTGGTTTGGTTTTGGCTTTATCTTGTCTTTCTGGTTCTGGGGACAGGAAGTCCCTACCTACATGGAGAAGCAGCTCTGGGGACCCCAAGCTTTCTGAATGCTCACTACCCACTTTCATGGTCAAGTCAAGTCCTTCCAAAGCCCCCAACATGATGGGTCCTGGTGAGCCCATTGTTTCATGTGCAATATGATCAGGGGACTGGCAGGGGCTCTGCTCAGGGAGCTTCTCAGAAGAGAGGACAGGAATAACCTGGAGTTGGGTTTGAAATAGGAGAGTCAAGATCTGACTCACTGTGTCCCTAATCAAGAGCAGTGGCAATAGCTTAGTCTACACCAAGTAGAATCCGAGGGATGAAGGGAGAGTGGAGGCCTCACTTTGAGGCTAAGACCTCCCCATTGGGTTTGCTCTGCTAAAGTTGTACTCCCTATGGGAATACTACCAGGGAAAACTTAGCAGGGGTGGGGATGGTGGGGTGGGGATGAACATCCTCAAGCCCTATATAGCATGATCACCAGGCTTCTTTGGGCAATGGGCTTGCTTTCATTGGTGTATGTGTGTGTGTGTGTGTGTGTGTGTGTGTGTGTGTGTCTGTCTGTCTGTCTGTCTGTCTGTCTATGTGTGTGCTGGATGGAGCCCTGGGTCTCAGGGATGCAGGGTAAATGCTCTACCAGTAAGCCACAGGCCAAATCCACTGGTTCTCATCTAATGGATACTGTAAGTCTTGAAACAAATTGTTCTTTCCTTGGCTTCTGGAAAGCTCCAAACCCAGGCTGACCTCAAACTTGCTATGTAGTGAAGAATGACCTTGACTCCTACCTCCTTCTCCCAAGTACTTGGATTACAAAGTACACTACCTCACCAGGTTTATATTTTTTTCCACTGATAAGTCATCTACATATTTTTTCTCCATCTGTTGTTGCTGAAAGTGAATTCATGTTATTTTTGGAAAGAAATGGCTACAAGCAAATAGATTAAGCAACAATATGAGCCTTGAGATTCCATTTAGAATTTCTTCTTACCCAATTGTGTTATTGTTGTCTTAACTTCACAACATCTTGGTAATTAGAGGTAGGTGAATTCCCCCACCTCCTGTCAAAAGATTCTGGTTAAAACCCTTACAGCTGCGGGCTGAGAAGATGGCTGGGTGGATAAAGTGCTTGCATTGTGAGCTCCAGGCCCGAATTTCCATCCCATAACCCATCTGAAATATTCACCGTGTGACACACCGGGAGACAGAGATTGCCAGGTCCCTGGGCTAACTGGCCAGGTAGCATGGTGTAGCCTACTTGGTGAGTACCAGGCTACAGAGAGATCCTATCTAAAAACCAAAAACCAAAACAACAACCACAAAAAGGTGGCCATTACCTGAAGAATGTTGTTCCTTGGCGCATGCGCATGTGGGTGCGCGTGTGTGCGCACACACACACACATACACACACACACACACACACACACACACACACACACCACAAGTCCAGCATTCCCTTGCCACCCACCCCCACTTCCTACTCCTTAGGGGTAACGAGTCCAGCCTGAACTCTCTTAACTGATTTCAAATAACACGCTGATGTTTTGAGTTTCCAATTTCTCAGCTTTAGGCATTTCCTCTGGACTTTATGGTAAGAAAAGGAGGACTCATCTGCCTGCGGTTTTACTCACTGTGTGTCTCATTGTTGTGAATGTGCTGCCTGCTATGGTTGTGTAACATACATGGTACATCATGCTTGACTGATTTTCCCCTTCTTTCTCCCAGGAGTCAACCTCTCCCATCTCCATTATGTTCTAACTATCAGATATTCAAAATCAGTTAGCATCCACTTTGGAAATCAATATGGCGATTTTTCAGAAAATTAGAAATCAACCTACCACAAGATACTGCAATACCACTTTTGGGCATATACCTAAAAGAGGCATACTCATACCACTAGGACATTTGTTCACCTATGTTCATAGCAACATTATTTGCAACAGCCAGAACCTGGAAACAGCCTAGATGCTCCTCAACTGAAGAATGCATAAAGAAAATGTGGTACATTTACACAATGGAGTACTACTCAGTGGTAAGAAACAATGACATCCTAAAATCTTCAGGCGAATGGACAGAACTAGAAAAACCCATCCTGAGTGAGGTGACCCAGACCAGAAAGACAAATACAGTATGTACTCACTCATAAGTGGATACCAGACATAAAGCAAAAGATACCCAGCCTACAATCCACAACCCTAGGGAAGCTAGAACCCTCTTCCAGAAACAGATGGAAAATGGTGCAGCTGGGGCAATATACGAGGCAGTGGGTCCAAGACCTAACACTAATGCACAAACTGACTTAGTGGAGCCCATTCTATATGGAGAGATTATCTTGCTCAGCCTAGACACAGGGGCAGGGAGTGGCAGAGAGGCTTGGGCCTTCCACAATAAGATGATGGGACAGACTTAGCAGACTTCCTGGGGAGGCCTTACCTCTCTGAGGAGCAGATGGGAAGTGGGGGGGAAGCAGGGAGGGGGAGTGGGGATATAGGGGGGAGGAGGAACTGGGGTTGAAATGTAAAAAATAAATTAATAGGTTAAAAAATTAGTTGACATCTTAAGGTCCTCTCCTGTGGCTCTTGGGTCATCACTGTGTGAGACGGACTTCAAGCTTGCTGTCTCTGCACTCTGAAGTCTCATCTCTAAGGAAATTGAAAGTGTGTGTGTGTGTGTGTATAGGTGAATGCATGTACTTAGATGTGGAGGTCTCGGGTGTTCTTTGACTTTTTGTGTGTCCTAGGGTCTCTCATTGGCCTGGGACTTCTCCAAGTAGGCTAGGCTAGCTCAGTGGTGATCTCCAGGGATCCCTTTGTCTTGCCTCCCATGTCATCGTCTATGGAACTATAAGCACACACTACCACATGGCGATTTTCTGAAGGATACGGGGATTGAACTCAGGTCCCCATGCTTACAATGCCAGTCGGTGCTTCACTGACAGAGCCCTCTTTCAAGTCACAGTCCCCAAAACTTACCTGGAAGGAACCCAGGGCCAGTTCAAAGAAGAGCTGGACCTCCATGGCGTCTTCCGGGGAGAAGGCGAAGACGATGTAATGGATGCCGAAGAGGGGGATCAGCAGGAGGGTGGACTTGGCCAGGCGCCTGGGGACACAGGGACATGCTGCCACTCCTGATCTGCTTCAGGCCCTCCTCACACAGGCTTCAACCCATCTAGGGCCTGATGGCTTTAAGATTTGCTGCAATGTCTCCAGATATTTCTTTTCAGTGTAGGTGCTTTGTTTTTCTGGATCTGTCTGTCTGTCTGTCTAACTATATCTGTCATCTATTTGTGTATCTGCCAACAATTTATCAATCATTTATCAATTATCTTTGTATGCACCTGCTTATCCATCATGTATCAGTCATCTACTTATCTATCACCTATCTGTCATCTTTGAATGTTTGTATCTATATCTATCATTTATCTATAAACTATCTATGTGTCATCTACCTAGCTACCCACTTTTCTATGATCTATGATCTGTGTATTTTACAGTGGTAGGTGCTGAACCCGGGCCCTCACTCATGCCAGGCAAGTATTCTGTTATACAACAACACACCCAACATGTTTTCATTTATTTGACAAAAATCTCCAAAGTCCCACATGCTCACCACCCAGATGCGACACTCATCAGAGTGTCAAGCCTTAGTGCTTCTGGTCACCCCCACCTCTATCGGTAACATACAGATAAACACCCACTCAACGACTTCACCAGTGTATAAACCAGATGCCTGTGCCTGTGCTATCGCTGCTGTGCTTAACAACCGAGGGGAGCCAGCTTTCTGCCTTGCCGGGCCCTTTCTGCCCGACCTCATGTGCACACCTCTTACCCACTTCCTCATCCTCACAGCCTTGCAGTGGTTAGCTCTCTGCTTGTAGGCTTCCTGTCTGATTGAATAGTGTCCTCTCCCCACAGCGTCGGAGGCTTCATATTCAAGCATACTTGCACCCACCCCAGTCACACCATAGGTGTGCCCCTCTGGATGCACCCACCCCAGTCACACCATAGGTGTGCCCCTCTGGATGCCTGTCTTCATACTCAGCACTAGTGAACAGCAGGTGCTCAGTCAATGTTTGCTGACTGCCCCAGCATGCCAAGCCTTTTGCCTTATACTTACTTATACTGGTTCATTTCATTTCCTCTTGTTTCCTGGGTTCTAAGTTTTCTCAGCAGGATTCTTAGAATGTTTATAAAAAAGATGAAATTGATCTGCAAAGCACAAGGCAGAGGTCAGGCTAAAGGGGTCTTGCTTCCTTGGTCCTCTGTCCCGTCCCTGACTCCTAGAGGTATGCACAGGAAAGACATAACAACCAGGATGGTTGTTCATCCCTGCACCCAGAGTCCCAGTGACACATACATCCAGAGACCACAGCTGGAAGTGACACACCCTGCTGTCCAGTGGCTCTTGGGTCTACGAAATTGACAGCCAGATAACTCTTGGGGCTTGGAATCCCCTGTAAATCTTGATGAATGCAGGTTTGGTTGAGCCTTGGAGTTCACTTATTTATTTATAGTTTGCTATTTTATTATTACATCTGTGTTTGCACACACATGCGCACACCTGCGTACTCGGTAAAGACTAACTTGCAGTAGTCACGACTCTCTTCTACTGCAGGTTCTGGTGACGGAAGTCCAGGGGTGAGGTCTGCACAGCACTGAGCCATCATACCAGCCCACACCTCTCTCTTTGATGCAGCATACCACAACGGATTTCAGACAAGTCTTGGACTCGGTTCTCCTGCCTCAGTCTCCTAAGTGATGAAACTAACCTCTCTTGGGAAGGATTCGGTTTCTGTTTGTTTTGCTGATAGTGGTTGTTTTTCTTTCGGGGAAGGGGGAAAGATTTGGGAGTTGTTTATTTGTTTATCTTAAATTTCTGAGCTCTAGGTCCTAGTGAAAGACCATGTCCCAAAAGATAAAGTGAATGACTCCCACCCTCTTACCCACTCCCTCCTGCCTCTCCTCAGGGAAGAGCGTGCCTGCCAACCTCTGGGATCCTGCAGTTTCTACCCTCCTAGCACCTGCTGGGGCCTCAAGCTCCAGGCTCTCCCACCCTCTGTGGCTCACTGGTCCAGTGTTCCCCTGCTTGTCCCCAGCCAGTGAGTGGATGCCACTCACCAGGATGGACAGAATCACAGGCCCTCGAATGAGCCACCAGATGGAAGTGTTGGAGTTGATGTCCCAGCATCTAGGGAAGAAAGTGTTGGGTATCGTTAGGAGTGGGGAACTAGGCTACCTGGCGGGCATGTTTCCCAGTGCCAGCCTTGGAAGGAAGACTGTGCTTATGTCTTTAGTCACCACAGCGTGTGCCCACCACCATCAAGATCTTCTTTTCTCAGGGTTCGAAAGATGGTTCAGTGGCTAAGAACCCATACTATTCTTGCAAACAACCTGAGTTCAATTCCCAGCATCCATGTAGGACAGCTCACAGCCACCTGTAATTCCAGATCCAGGGCATTCGATGCCCTCTTGGGCTTCCGTGGTCATCTGCACTCATATGTACATACATACACATATATACAAAGTCTTTAATCTTAAAGAGTATCCCTCTCTGCTACATCCAGTTAATGCAGTGCTGGAATCAAGCTCCAGCCCTCCTCGTGCATGTAGGCAAGTATTCCATCTCTTGAACCAGCAGTGTGAGGTTGGCTGGATTCCTAGCTGCAAAGCCAGCTGCTACAGAGGCTGCCTGTAAAATGTTGTGCCACGTTCTTGCCTCTCTCTATCTCTCTTTTTTATTAATTTACTTTTTACATTCCAATCCCAGTTCCTCCTCTCTCCTCCCGCTCTCCCCTCTTCCCCCTCCTCCCATCTGCTCCGCAGAGAGGGTAAGGCCTCTCCTAGGAAGTCTACTAAGTCTGTCCCATCATCTCATTGAGGCAGGACCAAGGCACCTCTGCACCTCCCCCCGCATTCCCTGTGTCTAGGCTGAGCAAGGTATCTCTCCATATAGAATGGGCTCCACTAAGTCAGTTTGTGCATTAGTGTTAGGTCTTAGGTTCACTGTCAGCAGCCTCATATGTCATCCTAGTCACATGACTGTCTCTTTTATTAAGGGAATCTAGTTTGGTCTTATGCGGGTTCCCCGTTTGTCAGAACAGAGTCAGTGTGTTATTGCTTCTCTTCTTCCTACCAGCTTACCCAATGTCTTCCAGAAAGTGCCTGGTGACAGCCCATGAAGCAACAAAAATGGCTGGAGAACCTGAAGGTCAAAACAAATAGTATGATGTTTAATGTTGACTGTCAGCTTGACAGACTTTAGGATGACTGAACAGATAAGTCTCTGGGTGTGCCTTCAAGGGACTGTCTGGGTGAGGTTAACTGCGGTAGGACGTCCCACCCCAGATGTGGGCAATACTATCCCATGGGCTGGGGTCCTGGGCTGAATAACAAGGAGAAAGTGAGCTGAGCCCTCACTCTCTGCTTCCAGACTGTGGATATAATGTGAGCAGTTGCTTCCGGTTCCTGCTTCCATGGATACACTGCCATGACGGACTGTCCCTTCAAACTGTGACACAAACAAACCCTTTCTTAAGATGCCTCTGCCAGGACATTTTCCCACAGCGATGAGACAAGCAACTAATAGGTAGGGGAGCGAGAACTCATGCTTCAATACAGGCACAGTGAATGGACATTTATCCTTGTCCAGGTACTAGGCTGATGACAAGATTTGACTGCCATGGAAACCCCCTTTCCATCTGTATCAGTATGAAGCCACATGCTTCCAGGCTTCTGTTAATACCCTAAGAGCTGCAGTCGGTTCATATGGAACCTGAAAGCCACTTGGGATTAGGATACTCCCAGGAGCCTGGGCCAGACTCCTGAGGACTTCTGGAAGGGAGAGAAGGCACATGGATGCAATTTGGTTTGAAATGGGATATAGCTGGAGGAATGAGATGGACAGAGGATCCAGTTGGTGGGGAACTCATTAGATTTGTTAAAGTATTGACGTATAAAATCCTTGTCTATTGGGGCTGGGAGACGGCTCAGTGGGTGAGAATGCTTACTGTGCAATCAAGAATACCTGAATCTGAGTTCCCAAAAGCCACGTAAAAAGCTGGCACCAGGGGCCCACACCGCCAGGTCTGGCTATTTGCTTTGCTTTACTTTTTCTTTGAGACAACCTCATTTAGCCCAGACTGGCAAGGAACTCAATACGTAACTGAGGATGGCCTTGAAATCCTGATTTTCCTGCCTCTACTTCTCGAGTGCTTGGATGACAGGTATGCGCCACCATGCGGGGTGCTGGAGACTGAACCTAGGACTTCGTGTGTGCTAGGCAAGCACTCTGCTGTCTTATTGTTCTAAGAGATGAGGTTTCACTGCGTTATCCAGTGGCCTCCAGCTCCTGCACTCAAGCCACCCTCCTGCTGCAGCCTTGCAGGTGGCCGAGGCACCATTGTGCTGGCCCAGCTTGTGTAGTTTTCCACTTCAGCTCTGCAGTGACTCTAACAGACTTTCTGGTGTATACAGTGGGTGGAGAGAGGTCAGGTGCCCAGGCTACTCAATTTATAGATCTCTAGTAGGCAAATCTCTACCTCACTCTGCTCCCCTGAGTCAAACCGAAGGCATTACAGGATGCTTTTCTGAATAAACTGAATGACCCATGACAAAAGTCCTAGAAATAGGGCTGCTGAGATGTCTTGTTGGGTAAGAGCACATGCCACTAAGCCTCACCACCTGAGTTTGACCCCCATACTCAAGAACTAACTCCCACAAACTGTTCTCTCGCCTTTACATGTGTATGGACACGCACAACACACACACCTGTACATAATAAACAAATAAATGCAACTTTTTAAAAAGCCTAGAAATAGCTGAGGACCCCCAATCCAGTAGTCACTTCCAGGCCAGTTTCCCTGGGGAAACGGAGCTTTCCATCAATGTTGGCCTGACTCATTCTTAACTATGAACAGAGAGCCAAGGTCACAGACATCAGATTACATCTAAAGCTAGAAACAAAACAACCAGAGAAAAGGAACTGACAGGAAACAGACTAAGCAGGGAGCAGAAGGAACTTAAGCAAAACAACCCCAGGGAGATCACAGAGAGACAGGAAAGATTACATCTACAAAAGACACAGGATGCTGCCAACCGGGAGCATTCAGAGAACAAGATGAATGTATGACTTCCAAAATAAACATTCAGTAGAAGAGTTGGAAGATAAAGACAAGAATCTCCCTCCCCCGGAGATCAGAAGAAACTGATGGAACAGCGCAGTGGGGTGAATCAGTGACTAGAAAGAGTTTCGGCAAAGAGTGAACCAGGGCAGAGGATAGGATCTAAGAGATAGCATAAGAACATTTTCCAAAACCAAGAATGGTGTCTAGTAAGATGGCTCAGTGAGTTACACCCAGGGACCCAAATGGTGGAAGGAGAGAGCCAGCTCCCACCAGTTGCCCTTTGTCTCTCCATACGTATGGCACACAACACACAATCATGCGTGCGCTCACACACTCACACACACTAAATGCATCAACACTGAATATAAAAAAGAAAGAGGAAGGGAGGGAGGGTGGGAGGGAGGGAGGGAGGGAGGGAGGGAAAGAAGAATAATAAAAAGAGAGAAACAAGGCCTCAAGCCACAGCCTGTAATTGCAGCCCTGAGGAGACTGAGGCATGAGGCTTGCATGTTCAAGGTCAAGAAAAAGAAATGGAGACATACATCTGTAGAAGAAAAAGCAACCAAATGTCAGGAAGGGCAGGGGAGGGCAGGGGAGGGCAGGGAAGGGAGGCTGTATCGTAGTACATCCTTATGACAGCTGAAAACACAGAAACATCTCTCATTTGTACTTAATGTTTTTTGTGGTGTGGGAACCAAACTCAGGGCCTCCAGCATGCTGGACAGGGCCTTACCATTGAGATACTTCTCTAACCCTGGCATTTTTGAAACCAGTCTTTAGGTAACATTTCTCTCTGACTAATTGCTTTTCAGAAAATCTTAGGTACATGGCTTGAGAGAGGGACTCAGTCAATAAAACGACTCCTATACAAGCAGGTGAGCCTTAGTTTGTATTCCCAGCACCACAGGGAGCTGGAGGGGTGGCTCAGCAGCTAAGAGCATTCACTGCTCTTACAGACCACCTGGGTTCAGTTCCCAGTGCCCACGTGTGACTCACAATGGTTTGTAACTCCAGTTCCAGGGACCTGATGCCCAATTCTGGCCTCAGTGGGCACCAGGTACACACATTCATAAAATAAAAGTAAACGCATCTTTAAAAAAAGGCTGGGCATGGTAATAGCATGGGAGAGAGGGGAAGCAGATAATCAGTCCACTGTTTCAGGAAGAGACCCCATCTCAAAAGATAAGATGGACAGTGGTAGTGTAAGACACTTGACATAAACCTTTGACTTTACATACATGCGCTGTTGTGCCCAGACTCTGAACCTCCAAAACCACCAAGAGATCAGATCCAATGCAAAAGCAGAGTCTTTTTAACTTTCAAGTTAATTCAGACCCTCCGTACATCCAACACAGTGGGTGGAGTAGGAGGGACCCCGAGCAGCAGTGGGACAGGGCACATATTGGGGTAGAGCAAGGGGAGTGTCTGGGGGTCTGCTAGTTTCATAGCAACAGTCTCAGGATGGGTGCACCTCCTGGTCAGCTACAGCTGCAGAAAGGTTGCTGTACCTAGAGGCCCTCCCAGGGCAGTTGCTATGTCTGCATTCCACTATTATCAGTAAAGCACATCCAGAGCCCACCAACTAACTTCTGATTGGTTCCTTGTCACATGGAGGGTATCTGGCAGTTGCTTCCTAGTAATTAGGGCAAGGTTGGTCAAGGTTGGGGGCTCAGCACATGCTGCTGAGTCAGGGGCCTATGTCTTGTTGGGTCTTTTCCACAGCCTGTCATGGCTGCCAAACAGGGACTGGGTGAGGGTCTGGGCCCTTCAGTGCACACAGGCACACACCACACTCATAACACATACATGCTACACATACCAGCCATACACTCACAGACACATACACATATACACCCCATACCACACACACATATACACTTCACATATATGCACACAAAATTCAGGTTGGTAAAACACCTAAGAACTTAGAGATTTCCTATTGTATTTAATGATTTGGAAAATAAGACGGAAGGGTTTCCAGAGGATTTGGAAGAATTAATAAAAATAGTCTGCTCGGTCACCTTCCTTCTGGTCTAATAGAGAGTTGAGATGCTAGTATGAGGAGATTTAGACAAGCAGAAGAGTCAGACGAGGGCATTCCTAGAAAGGACTCTTACTAATTAAGTGCATGGAGGAGGGAAAGGAACTGGAGAGATAGATGACTTAGTGGTTAAGAGTACTAGCGGCTCTGTTAGAGGACCCAGTTCAGTTCCCAGCACCCAGCCACAAAGGCAGCCACGGAGTAAGAAGGAAAGAAAGATATCTACAATAAAGAAAGGTAAAAGCCCAAAGGCAAGATGTACTTAAAGAGAAACAGAATAATTTAAGTTAGAAAACTGGCTAGAAACAGGCCAAGCTAAAGCCGCCAGGCATTCATAAGCAAGAATAAGTAAGTCTCTGCATTTATTTGGGAGCTGGGTGGCGAGCTCCCAAAGAATAAAAACAAAAGAACAGCTACATCTGTCTGAACTGTGTCTCCTGAGTCCAGACTATCAAGGATCCCCATAAAGAGGACAAAGAATGAATCATCTGTGGAAGATGAAGCAAGTGTTGGGCAGAATAAAATTAGAAATAGCTCAGGATGCCCAACATTCAGTTGAAGCTAAATTACAACTCTTATTCACATTTGAAAGGCAGAGAACCTGGGGTCAGAGGGTTAACCATTCAGCAACTTGTCAAAGATTACCCAAGTTAGTTCATTGTGGATCTGGTTTCTTTCTCTTTATACTGTACAGGTTGGATGGATGGGTAAATGGATGGATGAGAAAATAAATGGGTTGGTGGATGGATGGATGAATGGATGGATGGATGGGTAGATAAATGATTGGGCAGGTGGCTGTGTGGGTGGTTGGGTAGGTGCATAGTAGATGGTTTGGTGAATGGATTGATGGGTGGATGGATGGAGCTGCAACTAGAGTTGGAATTCTCCCAACTCTTAACTCCTTTCCTGCAAACCACACCCGCATAATACCCTGGACACACATACCCCATCCGAGGAGCACAAACACCTGCAGGCACTTCCTTTCTGAGAAGAAGGAGACGGCGAGGAGTGTGTGAAGGTAGAGGCCCTCTACCAGCAGCCACGCATAGTTGGCCATGATGCAGTACTGGAAGAAGATCATGACCAGCTTGCAGCCCACCTGGAAGAGATAGGCATGTGAGCCTGGGCTGGGTCACTGAGCTGCCGTTGGGTAACTGCTCCCAAAGAAAATAATACTACACTGTAGGAGGCAGGAGGCAGGCCCAGGGTGAAACTTGAGACGTACAACTACCTCTCCAGGACTATAGAGATAGCTCAGTGGGTAAAATGTTTCTGGGCAAGCATGAGGACCTCAGTTTGATTCCCAGAACCCACATTTTAAAAGCCAGATACAGCAAGGCATGCCTGCAATCCCAGCACTAGGGAGGTAGACAAGCAGATCCCTTAGGCTTGCTGGCCAGTCAACCTAACATACTTAGGGAGTTCCAGGCCAATAACAGACCCTGCCTCAAAAAATAAAAGAGGTAGAGTCTGAGGAAGGATATCTGAGCTTGATCTCTTATCTCCACGTGTACGTACACTCATGCACAAGCATATAAACATGTAGTGATATCTTGTTTATACTTTAACAAATAAAGTTTGCCTGAAGATCAGAGGGCAGAGCTAAACCATAGAGGTTTGGAGGTCTATACAGACAGACAGGAAGTGATGTGGCTGGGCAGAGAGAGGAAGTGATTAGGCAGGAGGAGAGAGGAGCTCGGCCTCTTTTCGGCTAGGAAGTTAGCAGGGTAAGGTGTGGCTTGCTTCTTCGTCTCTCTGACCTTTCAGCATTTACCCTATATCTACTCAGGGCTTTTTATTATTAAGACCTATTAGAACTCATGCTACATATACACACAGGAATGAACACAGTCAAGAGTTCTTCTGAAGCCTTCCCTGGTCAGGAGACCAGGCTCACAGTGTTCTCTAGACTGCACGTCCCCAGGCCCAGGGAAGATGACCTAGGGACTGCCAGAACAGGACGTGGGTTCCAATTGTGAATTGGCCCTGAGCCTTGCATTCCTTAGAGAAAACACCCAGTACTGACCACACCTTCATTTTCCAAGGAGGATGCTATAGCCTAGGGAGAGAATAGGGTACGAGTCAAAGTTAACAAAACGGTCTTTCCTCTTCTGAGTATGTGTGTGTCCGTGTGTGCTTGTGTGTGCCTGTATGTGTGTGCGTTTGTGTGTGTGTCTGTGTGTGTTTATATGTGTGTGTGTATCTGTGTGTGTGTTTGTGTGTAGTTTCTGGGAGATAAATGAAAAAGCCAAGTCTCCCATAACGAAAATAAAATGTTTAACATACAATCTTCTTCCTAGATCAGAATGTGGGTGTGAAACTTGGAGTTGCAGTGTCCATATCGAAACCCTGAGGTGAAAGCCTGAGGTCAAAGGCTCACACTGGGGGCAGGATGGACCAGAGAGAGAGAGAGAGAGAGAGAGAGAGAGAGAGAGAGAGAGAGAGAGAGAGAGAGAGAGAGAGAGAGAGAGAGAGAGAGACTGTAGATCACTTAGATCACTAGGGACTCTTCATCAGTTAGCTGCTTATGGTGAGCAGTCAGGGACCCCAGGTGACACACAGAGTGAGTGCAATGACTTTAGTGGCATCTAGACAGTGAGAGGGAGAAAATGGGTCAGACTTGGCCATGCAGACATTTGGTCATGAGCCCACTTTCTCCCTCCAATAACCAGGCAGTTTTTACCCCAGATTTCTCCATTTGTCTATAGGAGTTGTCATGAGAGAAGTCTAACCACATTTCTAATTCCCAGAGTGGCTGGTCCACTCCAGGGCACTGGGAATTAAAGGCAGCCTCCACCAAATCCCATACACATGACTTACATCATGCCTCCATGGCTGCAGAACCTTATGGAACCTCCTGGAACTTCCATGTCCTGCCAAACACCACCTTTTACCTGGAGCGTCTGCATAATCTTAATGGATGCTTTCGAGGAGGACAGTGAGCTACGGGGCTTGATCCTCTCCAAGGTCAGTCTAGGACACTTAGGCATGTTACCCTATGGGCATCACAGTAGGTGGCGTCATCTGAGGGGAAGAGTACAGCATCCTTGATGAAGTTGGACAGGGCGCGCAGGATGAAGGACAGGAACAGGTGCATGTGGATGTAGTTGCGGGTGCAGTGCAGCCTCCTGTCAGAGAGAAGTTGGGGCTGAAGGCCATGGAAGGCATGTCCACCTGCCCCGCCCCTCCCATTGCATGGGGAAATCAAAGCCCTGCCACTGCTCCCATGTTCCATCTCTTGGTATTAATGGACCTGTATGAGGGCATAGGACCCTGGGTTCCCGGTGCACCCTGGGCTGTATTGAAGTTACAAAAGAAAAGAGAGCCAGGCATAGCGGTACATGCCTGTAATTCCAGCACTTTGGCAGTGGAAGCAGAAGGATCATCTCAAGTTCTAGTCTAGTAGGGACTACAACATGGTGATACCACGACTCAGACTAGAATAGACCAGAACAGAACAGAGTAACGCAATCACTAGTTTTTTAACAGCAACGTGTCTTCGGCCCTGACCAGCCACCACCTCCAGCTCCCAAATTTTCTCCTGTGTTCTAAGGACTGGAAGTTTGTTGCTGGTCCTCCCTACCATTATTTTATTTTGAGATAGGATCTTTATGCGGCCAGTCTGGCTTCCAGTTGTCTCTATAGTCAAGGATGACTACGAACTTCTGATCCTCCCACCTCCACCTGGGAGTGGCCACAGGCATGTGTCACCATGGCCAGTTTATGTAGAGCAGGAGATTGCACCCAGGGCCTTGAGCTTGCTGGTCCGGCACTCTACCAACTGAGCCACACCCCTAGTCCTTCTGGAAGCTTAAATAGGGGGTGTCCAACCTTTTAGCTTCTCTGGACTGCGCTGGACAAAGAATTGTCTTGCAACACACATTAAATCCAGGGCTGTCCAACTACAGCCCTTTGGAGTGGAGGGCATGCATATGCTTCCATACATTGCTTTTGTATGGCATTGTAACAGCACATTGTCATCTGCAGAATTTACTATTCTTTTGTTTTAAGTCTCAGACTTTGTGTTGAACCACATAGCTTCACAAGATGGCCAGGCAGCCCACCCAGACCTCCCTCTTCCCATCCCGAGTCATTAGGAACATTTGAGGACTGGAGAGTGGGCAGTCTGTTCTCACCGGAAAGAGCCCAGGATGCTGAGGGCGACCAGGAGCATGGCCAAGGAGGAACTGTAGCCTACAGTGTACATGACCTTGAGCTTCAGCAGGTATGCATGCTGCAGAGAGAGGCACAGGTCAGCCCAACTGCCGTCCAGCTGTAGCTGGCCCTTCTGTGTCCCAGAGCACTAGCTTGAGGCAGCACTGGTCCCGACAACCTTGGCTGCCATTCCGATGCCTGTGGGTAGGTCCCTTTACCAGCACTATGAATGCAATACTTTATTTGAATACTTCTAGAGAAAGCTGCTCACTACTTTTGAAGGAAGTCATTCATCATGCAACAATTCAAACACACACACACACACACACACACACACACACACACACAGTTTTATGTTTCCCAGACCTCTGGATCTCCCTGCCTCTACTTCCCAAGTGCTTGGATTACAGGTGTGTGTGCTTCCATACCTGGCTTATATGTGCTGGGGACCAAACACAGGGCTCCATGCATGCTAGGCAAACACTCTTCCAACTTAACCACACCTCCAGCCCTTGTTTTGATTTGAGAAAGAATCTCATATATTCCAGGCTGGACTTGAACCCATAATATAACTGAAGATGACCTGTAACTCCTGATCCTCCTGCCTGTACCGTCTAAATGCAGGCATTTAAGGTGCATGGTAACAGCCAAGTCATGGTTTCTCTGTGTAGCCCTGGCTGTCCTGGAGTCATTCTGTAGACATGGCTGGCCTCGAACTCAGAGATCCATCTTCCTTTGCTTCCCTACTGCTGGGATTAAAGGCCTGCACCACCACACCTGGCTCAGACTCTTTTTAAGTAGCATTCAAAGTAGCTAACTTTTGTATTCCACCCATTAGTCTTTTCTCTTTTTCTTTCTAGAGCCATCTAAAATAAATTAGTCTTCTAGACGAAGGCTGTCATAAGTAGAAAAGTTGTGACTGTATGCAGTGCCCTGTCATTTTCAAATAAATTGATTCTTCCCATTGTTCCTCACTCACCTGCTCTACGTTCATGGCCGTTTTCACCTCTTTGCCCTCCCTTCACCATTTATTCAATTAAAATGATGAGGTTTGTTGGTGCCCTTAAATAAGACACCCAGGGGCCGGAGCGATGGCTCAGCACTCAAGAGAGCTTGCTTCAGAAGGCCTGAGTTTGGTTTCCATGTCTACCTCAGGCAGTTCACAATCACCTGTAACTAACTCCAGGTCCTGGGGATCAGACACACTCATCTGACCTCCAAGACACACTCATCTGACCTACACATATGCACACACACATACAATACACATAGATAAAAGCAAAATACCTCTAAATGGCAAAGATAAGCACTTGACTGTACAGCCCAGACAAGGAAGAAGCGGAGGAACATCACCCCGATCTATGCCTTACACTACTAGTGGTGTGACCAGAAAGACTTTTACTTGTTCATCGGCCTCTTCACACTGAATCAAAGAAAGGAATACTGAACCAAAACCAAAACAAAAAACCTGCGCTTAGGTGGGTTGAGGAAATGAACGTTAAAACAGTGGTAATATTAACAACCGAATTGGCAGATATTTAAAATTAAAATACTCCGCCCAGGTGAAAATACAGTGGGAGTGAAAACTGGTTCAGTCTGCAGGAGAAGAACGTGGAGACACGTGCTGAGGGCCATTGAGATGAGCGTTCCTTACGACCTCCTTTCTGTTATGTGACAGTCTCTCACGTAGCCCAGGCTGGCTGCAGACTTGCTGTGTGGCTTATGACAACCTTGAACTTCCAGTCTTCTCATGGCCACCTCCCGAGTTGCAAGTGCCACCCCGCCAGGTTTTCACAGTGCCAGGCATGGAAGCCAGGGCTTCCTGCATGCTAGACAAGCACTGTACCAGCAGAGCCACAGTCCGGCTCTCTAGGAGTTAATTCAAAGAAACCGAGTCAGCCCTCCACAGTCACAGGGTCTGTGTCTACATACTCAATGAACCTCAATTTTAAAATATTGGGGCTGGGGATTCGTTTCCAGGCCAGTGAGGTGACTTAGGGGACAAAGGCGCTTGCTACCAGGGTTGATGCTCTGAATTCTATCCCTGGGACCCACATGGTGGAAGGAGAGAACCAAGGCGTAAGTTGTCCTCTGACCTCCGTACGTGTGCCATAGCGCATGCCCCCTACACAGAATAAATAAGTGCAAACAATAAACAGTGAGCCCGTTTCTGCCCCGAGCGTGTACAGACATTGGCCCTTGTCCTCGTTCCTTAGAGACTGCAGTGCCACTGTTTCTAGAGCACCCACAGCACGTTCAGCACTGTTTGTCCTCTCTAGTGGTGATGTCAAGTGTACAGAAGGGTGTGCATACGTGATGCACAAATTGTATGCAATTTTATGTAAGAGATTTGAATATCTTCAGACTGGGGTATACACAGGGTCCCCAGAAGCAAGGCCATGGGGACACTGAGGCACAACAATCATCAGAAAAAATATTTGTTTGCAAAGACACTTTTAAGATTACACTTATTTCTTCTGTGTGAGCATCATCGAGCTTGGGATAAGCCCCTTTATCCATCGTGTTAGTCCTGTAAAGGTCTTTATTATGGAATTACTCTGATAAAAAGCTTCCAGTATCCAGCGGTAGAATGCCCTAGTATGATATCTTAAATCTACATATCTTTAATGTTCCTCCAGGGCTAAAGTAATGCTTCCAGTGAGATTTTAAAGAAGTCAGGGCCTACTCACGGTGGGTCATAATACACAAAGGCAGGCGATAAAGTTAATGAGTACTGTGTGATTTCAGCTATATGTAAAGAAGGGTTGCATTACAATAGATGGACTTTTTTTGTGATCAATACAATTGGGTAGCTGGGATTGGGGCTCAGTTTGTAGACTGCTTGTCTACTTCATATAGGCGGCATGCGTGATCACGCCTGTGATCCCAGGGCTTTATAAGGTTGGCGTAGAGAGTGCATAAGCAGGAAGAAGGATCAAAACTTCATGGTTCTTCCCGGCCACACAGAGATGAAAGCCATAACTGACTTCATGAAATCCTGATTTTTTAAAAAAAGGAACAAAGCAAGCCACTGAAATTTGCTCTGTGAAAAACATTTTTTTAATTGACTATCATAGTCTGGGGGTGTTGCCTGGGACCTGCACTTATATATCCCGTGATTGGATCTTTTTGTTGTTGTTTTGGGGGAGTTGTTTATTTGTTTTTCAAGACAGGATTTCTCTATGTAGCTTTGGAGCCTGTTCTGGAACTCACTTTGCAGACCAGGCTGGCCTTGAACTCACAGAGATCCACCTGCCTCTGCTTCCTGAGTACTGGGATGATCTTATAATCACATTTTAAAAATCTATGGAGCCATGTAACATAGTGAGTTTGAGGCTAGTGTATGGTACAGAAGATCTTCTTAAAGAAAAAAAAGGGTATCAGCCAATCTGCGGGGTTCAATTTCTTATCTTCATTAAAAACAAGCTTGTGGTGGCCTGGAAGCGTTGCTCTAGTAAAGACACTTGCAGACAAACTTGATGGTGCAAGTTCAGTCCTTGGGCTCCAGAGAACTGATTATAGCAAGTTGTTTCCCCGGCCAACCCCCGCCCCCATAATAAAAACTTCTTAAAAATATGGTAAGGAGACATGTCACGTGGTTAAGCAGCTGTGCCGTGTGGGAGGAGTCGTGTCACGTGGTAAGGAGGCTCGTCAAGTGTCAGCAAGTAACCGGCCTTGGTTCCGTGGCTCTGAGCAGAGTTGTAGTTCCCTTTCATCTTTTTCTACCCTGGCATTTTCTACAGTTGCTAAGGGGAATTACGGTTCCAAGGCACGAGAACCGTACAGAGGGAACCTTGCTGACCACACAGTGATGGCTTTGGGATTGGAATGGCCCACACCGTGTCCACAGTGTCACAGAGTAGACAGGAGAGAAACAAGACAAGCTTCCAGAAGGCCAGTCTGTTACTCACCAGCTGTGCAACCCCGAGCAAATTACTTAACTTCTCTGAGCTTCAGATTCTTTATCTACACAATGGGAACCGTATTGTCTCCCTTGCAGGCTTGCTGGAAACAGGAAGAAGCTAACAGGTGGGCTGTGTCTGCAATGCCTGGCACTCAGGGGCCCCTCAGCATGTGGTACTTGCCCAGCTCCATCCACTCCTCAGCATGAGTCAGCAGGGTGACATGGCAGGAACTCCCAGGGATGAGTGAGCCTCCAAAAATAAAAATGGGCTTATTTTCTCTTTCACCAGTGGAATGCTCTCAACAGGTGGCCATGTCACTGGGTTGCCATGAGAGCAAGTGTGTTATTTTAGGAGGCACCTTAATGACTCTGGGTGCATCATCCGAAATGCGCAGGAAAAGCCAAGTGTGCAGGGTGGCAGCGTGATGACAAATTAGGGGGGAAATATCCGAAGGACTGACAAAATTAAAGGCAAGATTCCCAGTGTAAGGTTCAGTGGCGGAAACTTTGAGAAAGTATGTTGACTTCAACTTGGAATAAGCGAGGACACTTTGGCATCAGATGACCCCCAGCATGATGACAACTGTGTTAGGTGGAGCCTCCCTCCTTCAGCAACTGTCCCTGCACCCCTCAGGGGTGAAGAGAACTGTGAAAGGTGATGAGTTGTCTGAGATTAATGTTCCCTAGATTCCGGGACACCAAAGAATAGCGTGGGGCTGGGATGTGGCTCAGCTCCAGCCATAGAAACTGGGCTTGGTGGCACACACCTGTCACCCAACACGAGGGAGGCATAGGCAGGAGACCAGATGTCCGAGGCTGCCTCAGCTACATGATGAGTTTGAGACCAGCCGGGGCCACACGAGACCCTTCCTAATAAAACAAAGTAAAATAAAATAAAGTGGAATGTTTGTGACTGGGAGCAGTTTGGGGAGCTGGAGAAGGGAAACAGAATGGTTAGTTAATTCAATAGGGGTAGAGCACATCTTTCCTAAGATGACCAAGAGTTAACAGAATGCTTGACTAGCAGGTTAAAAGCTCTGAGTTGAGTCTTAGCATCACACGCATCAGCCATGGTGTAGCATGCCTATAATTCCGGTACTTTGAAGGAGGAGGCAGGAGGAACATGGGTACTAGGTCATTCTGGGCTGTCTAGGGAGGTTGAGGCCAGCCTGGGCTACATGAGGCTGCTTTAAAAAAAAGTAAGGAAAGAAAGAGATCTGTGGAATCTCACAAGTTTTTGGATCAACCTGTTGCTGTGCGATCTCAGCTCCTAACTCATACTCTTAACCACTACATCCTGCTCTTTCCTTCAGCTTGAAACTTGGCTCAGGGAGGCCCACACCACTGAGGGTGGCAGTCTGGCCTAGTGATGCCCCCACCCATTCACAGAGCCCAAGAAGACACAGGTTGACTGTGTGAAGAGTCCCAGCAGAATAATTTGTCCTATTCAGTACCAAGTGACCTTCGGCCCTGATTTCATGTCAGTGAGGTCTGAACCTCAGCATGACCCTGATTCCCAGGAGTTCTCATGTGACCCTTGTTCCCTCAGCTTTTAAGATATGCAGCTGTCCCTCGAGGCCTCAGAGTCCAGGAACACTCCTGCTATCTGTCCTGGGTCAAACTAAGTGCCTCCGCCTTGGAGCCCGGCAGTGCCACCTGTTTGCTGTCCCCTCTACTCAGCTGGCAGCAAGCATTCCCTCTTAACAGACAGACAGTAAATATTTTAGGCTCAAAGTGCCACTCAGTCTCACGAAACTACCCAGCCCCATCCCTGTCACACAGAAGCAGACTTGCGGCGCTAATGGACCTGGCTATGTCCCAACAAAATTTCATTTGCAAAGGCTGGTGGTGGCCCAAGGCCACAGTCTGGCGATCTTTGCTCCAAGTAGGTGCCCTAGACCTTGTAGATGCTTAAGGGGCATCTGTGCCTGGTCTTCCTATCAGTCTAAGTCCGTTACTGACATTTGTCGCTACTCTAGTGACACATGCCCGGGAGGGGGATCGGAAAAATAAGAAAGAAAGAAGGAAAGAAAAGAGGAGGAAGCCAAGCTGGACATGTCATCATCGGCCGGTGGGAGGAGGAGGGTTTAACAAAAAGAGCTAAGTTTCAGCAGGGGTATGGCTTGCCAGTGGAGTGCTGCTTGTCCAGTGTGCACAGAGGCCCGGCTCCACACTCCACACGCTATGAAGTAGACGTGATGGTGCTGCTCACAATCCTGGCACCCAGGTCCTCTCTGACACCTCACCCCGCGTTCACCCATCTCAGGTGCATGGTGGTGCGACGTGACAGGCTTACCCGTTTCTCGTTGGAGGAGTCATTCATGTTGACCCCACAGGCCAAGTCAGGCCTGGGGAAAGTTTCTGACCAGCCATCCTGGGTGCAGTTCCTGAACAGAGAGCCTGAGGGTGACAAGTGTACAGCAGATGAGTAGTGGGGATCAGGCAATGAAATCGTTATAGTAAAATCTCTGGTGACATCAAAATATTATAGGTGGGCAAACTGAGGCATGCGGTGGAGAGATAACTTGCCCACATCATTATCTCAATAAATGGAGAGTGAGGGTTGGGTCTGTAGAGCTCTTGACATCACGTACAAATCCCCTTTCTTACTCCCACCCCAGTTCTGCTGACGTAATAGGTGGGTCCTGAAACATCAGGGTGGATGGTGAGGACTTGGCTTCTGTTACAATGAATCCTTAGGCTCTCAGAGCTCTCTCTCTCTCTCTCTCTCTCTCTCTCTCTCTCTCTCTCTCTCTGTGTCCTCTCCTTCCCTCCTTCTCTGTCTCCCTGTCTCTGTCTATCTCTTCCTCCTCTCTGTCTCTGATTCCCCCACTCCCGTGGTGTGTGTGTGTGTGTCTAGGTCAGAGGTCAACCTTGGGTCCCATTCCTCAGATGCCATCCACCTTGGCTTTTTGAGACAGTCTCTTACTGGCTTGGAACTTTCAAATTAGACTAATACAACTGGTTAGCAGTCCCAGGGATGCCCCTGTCTCTGCTTCCCTGATGCTGGCATTACAAATGCATTTTACACAGGCTCTGGGGATCTACTCAGGTCTTCATGCTTGTCCGCTGTGTCCTGCTCACCTCACCAGATGGAAACCATCAGATGGAGGCCACTGAGGCAAAGCCTGTCAGGCAGCTGCCCGTCGTGGAAGGAACTGGGTTATTATTCCTTTAGCTGTAACACTGAGGCTGCCTGCTGGGATAGTTGCAACTGTATTTGCCCTCCATCCCTGCCCGGCACAAGGCTGCAGGCTGACCCCGTTGAATATATGGGTGACGGTTTCTTGGGACTGAAAGTGTGGCCCCTAACAACACATGCACAGGCAGAGTGAGGAATGAGGCCGACAGACCTGTGTGAGCTCTTTTCATAGAGAACAGGGTTGAGTTTCCCACGGCATGGGTACCTTAGGAGGGGAGAATTTCTCACTGTGGGCATGCATGCATGTGCTTGTGTATGTGCACATGTATGGCCCTGGAGATCTCACCAGGACCTCTTGCATGCTAGGCACACATTGTAATATCTATCCATTCCTGTCTCCCACCTGACCTTTCAAAGCCAGGCTCCAAAGACAAAGGGAAGGAGCCACCGGCCAGGGAGGAGCCACCGGCCAGGGAGGAGCCACCGGCCAGGATGGAGCCACTGACCAGGAAGGCTTCCTGCAGTTTCCAGAAGTTCCTCTCCTTGTTCTGAATGACAACTGAATTTTCATTCTAGTCACCAAAGACCCATGTCCTTCACACACTGACGACGCCATCACCGAGTTCTGTGGATGAGAGTCCTGTCCAGTCCCCCTTAACAACCCTTACCTGGCCTGGCTTGCTCTCTCCTAGTGATGGCAGGGCCTAGCCACTGTTCGTGGTTTGGGGGTACAAGCGGCTCTCCTGAGCTGGGGAAATGATGTCAGCTTTCCCCAGGTCAGTCCTGTCCTAAACTCCTCCACAGACTTGTGTGTCACCCCACAGCCCAGTGACAGAGCACATCCAGGGTGTGTCCCATCACTAGCCCTCTCCCATCAGGAGCACTCCCTGTGGTCCCACAGTGGCATCTAGTTACAGAAGGCCACGTCCTTAGGGCCCTCAACATGCTCAGCCTTACAAGGTTCAGGAGGCATGAACCACTAGCCTAGAATCAGCCGAATAACAGTTCTCTGCCCAGCGCAGTTTCTTGTTCTTAATGTGGCTTTACCATAGTAAGAGTGCAGTGTGTCACAAAGGAAGTATCCAGGCTGGTGCCAGCCAGAAGTGGCCTTCCCACAAGAGGTAGGCATGGGCAGGGTGATGGGGGTTGTCCTCCTGTATATATGGTTTCTCTTATTGGTTAATGAATAAAACACTGTTCAGCCAATGAGGCAGGAAGATAGGCAGGTCTAGGAGACAAGGAGAATTCTGGGAAAGGTAGGCAGAGTGGGCCAGTCACACAGAGTCATAATGCTGCCCAAGGAGTAACACCATGCCAGTGCATTACCAGATAAGCCACAGTCTCGTGGCAATGCATAGATTAATAGAAATTGGTTAATAATTAAGACAGAGCTAGCCAATAAGAAGCCCTAGTCATCTGTCAGCAGTTTCATAATTAATGTAAATCTTTGTGTGTTTATTTGGGGCTCAAGGGCAGTGAGACTCAGCGGGGCCAAGAATCTCATGTAACAGCAGGGTGTAGCATTCAAGGGAGGGTGAGACAGCTTTGTGAACGAAGTCAGGGAGCGAGGTTGTGGGTTGGGAAAGGATGTTGGTCAAATGTGGACTGACTGGTTAGAAACACACAGCTCCCGAGTCAAAGGCTATTGGCCCATGACAAGATGGTAAATCTCTATGGACCCAGCCTAGCACATCTGCCTGACTGTCTAGGGCCCTCTATCCTCAGGGACCCAGTAGCATTCCCAAGATATCTGACTGTGACTCAGCTTGGTCCCTGAGCCTTTGACAAGGTTGTGTGGTGCTGATGGAGCGCCTTATAGGACAGCAAAAGGACGGGCTCTTTGCTTTCAACTCCACTCATTTCCTCTGGGGCTCATTCCTAACAGGGACAGTGATTCCTTCATAAGAGGCCTGGAAATTAAAGTTTGCGTGTCTGTGTGCACATGTATTGCAGGTCAGGGGAGAACCTGTCCAAAGCTTCATTTGATTCTCAAGTCCTTGGATCCTACATAAAAGACTGTCCCAGCACTTGATCCCACCCAGAAACTCATGTGTGAGTGAGTATGTGAGAGGGAAGGGAAGGACAGAGGGAGAGAGATTGGGGATTGAACTTAGGGCTTGGAACTGTCTAGACAAGAGCTTTCTCACTAAAATATATCTCTACTCCTCTTTAACTTTGTGTGTGTACATGCTTTTATGTATGTATACATGCATACATGTGTACATGCATATGTGTGTACATTCGTGTGTGTACATGCTTTTATATATATGTACATGTACATGCATGTGTGTATGTACATGGTTTGTGTATATGCATTCATGTGGATGCACATGTGTATACATGCTTTTATGTGTGTGCGTATGTGTACAGGGAGGTCACATGTTGACATGAAGTATCTTCGCCTTAGTTTTTGAGACAAGGTTTCTCACTGAGCCTGGGCTCACCTACTGTTCTAATCTTATTGGTCAGCATATCTCACTGCCTCTGCCTCCCCAGCACTGGGGTGACAGGTGTGTACCTCTGTGCCCAGCTTTTCCCTGGATGGTGGGGGTCAGGTTCTCCTGTTTATGCAGCAATCACTTTACCAACTGAGCCACCCCCCCCCCAGCCCATTCCTTTACTCTTTGTTTTGAGACAGAGTCTCACTGAGTTGTTCATAAAGGCCTCAAACTTGAGGTCCTCCTGCCTCAGTCTCAGCGGAGGCTGGGATTACAGGCCTGTGGGATCATGCCCCGCAAAATACATTTCAAACAAGGAACTTTGAAAGTGCCGGTGCTGTCTTAAGAATCAAAGGAATGTCTCCTTGAAGGAAGATTCCAGGCCTGGCATGAGAACTATCTGAGGCAGAACGAGGCCTGCCGTTTTCCCAGTCACTCAGGTGCCTGTCTGGGCCAGTATGGAGACTGTTTGGGGCAAAGAACTTCTTAGGAATTAACTCTAGAACATATTTTCCTTGTTCAAAGGGAAGCTGCCCTGATCACTGACTAGCATCCATGAGCACACCTCTCTGGGGTTGGGGACACACTGTGGGGAGACGTCCTCTCTGGAAGGTCAGAGGGCAAATGCCCAGTCAGATCCAAGACAGAGCTATGGGTGACTAGCAGACCCAGACAGGTCCTGACCTATGCTCCTGGGTCAGCCAGCTCCCTGAGGTATGACCCAGTGAGCTGACCCTGCCACCACCAGCCCAGGAAGCCAGGCCAGCACCTAGAAGGCAGGGCCTCAGGGTAAACCTGCGGCCCCACAGTGACACCGTGTGGTAGGTAGATGGAGCTGCAGCAGAAGAAAGCTGTGACTCACTAGCAATCCAGAGTTCCTCTAGTTAATGAGGTGGGCAGGAGTTCAAGCAGCTAACTGGGGAGGGATGTAATCGGGTGGGCGAGCCTCTGGTCACCTCGGTGGCCACAGGCAGTGGTTCTTCTTCCTAGGCTACAGAGGGACAGGCGAACCAGCTCTGAGATGGCTTTGCGGGGATGGCTGGTAGAGAGGAGAGCCGCAAGTTCTTTTGGACAGGAACCTGACCAGCCATGCATGGATGCACGAGTGGCCTGAGTCCTGAGCCTCATGGGCTCAAGCGTCTGACATGAGGGGTCCCGCCAGGAGGGAAGACCACTGGTGGGATTGAGGGAGTGAGCACGATGGAGAAAGCGGCTAAGGCGGAGCTTTGGAGGTTTGGAAGCTATGAGAGGTGGAAGGGAAGGGAGGGAGAAGGAGCAAAGGGAGACGTTTAAAATTGACACCCAGGGCTGGGGAGAGGCCCGGCGGGTAAAGAACTTGCCGTGCAACCGTGAGCACCTAGGTTTGGATGCCAGCACCCGCGACAGCTGGGGGTGGGAGTGAGTGCCTGTTAGCATCCCACATGAAAGCAGGTGTACCCAGGTAAGGGTTCCTCCAGGAAGCCAGGGCACCCAGGGGCACCTCTAGTCACCAGCAAGGCCCAGGATAACGGACATGGAAAGAGAGTGTTCTAGAAGCAGTCTGCTTCAGAGGCTGGCACTGTGGGGTCTCTGAAGCAAGATGGCTGGCTGCCAAGGGAACGGAAACACGGGAGAAGGGGAGAAGGTTCCTAAACTGGGGCCATGAGGCACAGCTCAGCTGCTGCTGCCTCCTCTTCCTTCCCTCCCCCTCCTCCTCTTCCTCTTGTACACCCCGTCCTCCTTTTCCTCCTCCTGTTTTATTATATTACGTTTTGGACACCCTGCGGAGGTCAGAGAACAACTCGTGGGAGTCGATTCCCTTCTTCCAGTATGTGGGTCATGGGGACCAAACTCAGATCAACAGACTTGGCAGCAAGCTCCCTTAGCCTGCCGAGCCATCACGCTGGTCTTGGTCTTCTTCACGCTTCCCTATGTCTCCTGGTTCCTCCCTGGGACCCTGGAAGTTATGCTCTCACACACCCAGGCAAGGATTCCAGCCTCCAGAGGTCTCCCCCTGTCATCTCACCCACTGCTTGTTCTCAGAGATTTATGGCACCTGAGTTCTCACCCAGGAGCCATTTCCACCTCTGGCAGGGGCCCTTGGTGCTGAATGGTTACCGTTTTTGCCCGTGAGCATCTGGAGAAACTTCGGACATTGTACTTCCACCGTCTGCGCCGGTGCCGAGGAGGGCCAGCAGCTCATGTTGTCCCACAGCCCCTCACAGCCTGCAGAGAAGAGCCCAGCAGCGCATGAGGATGGAGCATGGACCAAGGCTGTCCACCAGCACCACCCTTCTCAAGCCCAGTTCCCATTAAGCACGGACTCCTTGAACTCCACCTTCCCGGGGTTGAGGCACGGATGGAAACCAGGGTCTTGTGTGCCCTGGGCAAGTGCTACGCCGCTGAGATATTTCTTCAGCTCTGGCCAAGTGGTTAACATTCGAGCATTTCCTATTCAGCTTCTAACACCAGGAATGGGGGTGTGGCCCAGTTGCTGGAGCACTTGTCTAGCATGCACAAGAGTCCTAGGTTTGGTTCCCAACACCACATAAGCTGGGTGTGGTAGCATATGTTTATAAACCCAGTAGGGAGAAGGCTGCAGAATCAAAGCTTCAAGGTCATCCTCAACTACATAGTAAGACTGAGGCTGTATAAAATTCTCTTTCAAGAAAACAAAACAAAAGCAATACCATCCAAGTACGGGGCTTCCTAAGGTCACTCTCTCCTAGACTCTCACCATCCTTCTCCTGGGCCATAGCCTGCCCTGTCGTTCACCCGACCTCCAAAGCCTCTCCCAGGCCCACAAGGTTCTGGTGCTACTAACAGGGAAGAAACACACCACATATGACTTACCTGTAGATGGACGTTTCTATCCCACCCAGTCCCATAGCCCTTTAGTCCCAAATAAACACCCAGAGGCCTATATTAATTATAAACTGTTTGGCTGATGGCTCAGGGCTCTTTCTGGCTATGTTTCCCTTAATTATTAACCCATTTCTATTAATCTATGAATCATCACCTCATTTCCTGTCTGTCCAGACCTCCAGACCTCTGTGGTTAGCTAGTGGCAAGCTCCATTCTGTAACCCTCAGATGGCTTTATTTGTACAAGCAAGATATCACCACACTTACCTTCTTACCTCCCCAGACCTCTGCATACTCTGCAGACCCCATTCATCCTGGCCAGGCCCATCTCTTGTGTTCTCCTCCTCCACCACACACACACACACACACACACACACACACACCCCACACCACATCACACACACATACACACACACCACACCACACACACACCCCACACCACATCACACACACATACACACACACCATACCACACACACACACCACACACACCACACACTCACACCCCCCACTTACCATACACACCACACACACCATACACACATACACACACACACCACACACACACACACCACACACACACACCACACCACACACACACACTTACCATACACACCACACACACACCACACCACACACACATACACACACACCATACCACACATACACCACACACACCCCACACCACATCACACACACATACACACACACCATACCACACACACCACACACACCACACACTCACACCCCCCGCCTCCCCACCCCCCCACTTACCATACACACCACACACACCATACACACATACACACACACCACACACACACACACTTACCACACACACCACACCACACACACCCCACACCACATCACACACACATACACATACACTATACCACACACACACACCACACACTCACACCCCCCACTTACCATACACACCACACACACCATACACACATACACACACACACCACACACACACACCACACACACACACCACACCACACACACACACACACTTACCATACACACCACACACACACCACACCACACACACATACACACACACCATACCACACATACACACCACACACCCCACACCACATCACACACACATACACACACACCATACCACACACACACACCACACATACACACCACACACACCACACACTCACACCCCCCGCCTCCCCACCCCCCCACTTACCATACACACCACACACACCATACACACATACACACACACCACACACACACACCACACACACCACACCACACACACACTTACCATACACACCACACACACACCACACCACACACACATACACACACACACCACACCACACACACACACCACACACACACACACACACATACACACACACACACACACACACACACACACACCCTTGCCTCTTCATACTGATCCCTGAGCCTGTCTGGGGTTAACTAATGCCTCGAGACAGGTCAGGTAGTTGGAGACTATGAATTGGCACCAAATGTTGAACTAGGCAGACTCAACCTGCCTCTGTTTCCCGACTGTCAACTCAGCAAACCACCTCTCCTCACTCTACTTCGCGGCTTCTGCTTCACTGGAAAGGGGGGGTTGAATCAGATGCCTTGGGTTCTCTCCACAAACACCAAACCAGAGAGAATGGAAGGCCTGTATGAAGACATGGAGCTGAGAAGCTACAGAGATGTCAAGGACAAGTCTATTTGCAGAGGACACTGTGCCAGCATTGGTCTGTCCACCAGCTCATTGGCCATATAGTGAGTACCTTCACGATGCCAGGCCCACAGGAGGCCCAAGGACTCCAGCTGTGGACCACCAGATAGGCTTCTGCTTGGTGGACAACAGTGCTTGGAAGCTAAGTCAGTGACTGCCTTTGTCACTGTGTGCTGGAAGTTGGGGTACTCTAGACTCTAGATCAGGGAAGATGGAAAGACTGGGCAGATTCTTCAAAGTCCTGATGCACACAGAACTCCTTCTCCTGAGAATTTATAAGACACAGGTTTCTGGATCTGACCTCCCAATGACTGAATTAAAATCCTGTAGGCCAAAACCCAGAGAACTGTGTACTGGACATGCTTCCAGAAGTTTCTGATGTGAAGTAAGGGGCAGAGCCTCTGTGGTGGGGCAGGTTACCATGGGGACTGCACTGAGAAGGAATAATGATGTCAAGAGGACACACAGCATGGTTGGACTGATGTTTGAACACTGTCTCCTTCTGCCCCCTCTCTTCCTTCCCCCTGTCTCTCTGGGTCTCAAGTATCCCACAACAACCTTGAACTTGCTATGTATCTCAGGCTGGCTTTGAATTACTGATCCTCCTGCCTCTATCTCCTGAGTCCTAAGATTACAGATTGGCCCACTGTCCTATTTCATTTCAGTTGCTATGATGCAATGTTCCAACCAAAAGTAGCTCCGGGGAGAAAGGGTTTATTGTACTTCCAGGTTAGATCGGAGTGGCAGGAACTTAAAGCTGTTGGTCGCATCATACCGGCATCAAGAGCGGAGAGAAATGAATGCTTGCATGCTTGCTCCCTGTCCTGGTCATTCTCCACTTTTATACAGTTTGGGACCCCTACCTAGGGAATGGTGCTACCCACAGTGAGCTGGGTCTTCCCATATCTATTAACTCAAGACAATCACCCACAAACCAACCCAATGTAGACTCCTATGTTGAGGTTCTCTTCTCAAGTGAGTTTAGCTTGAGTCATGCTAACAGTAAAAGCTAATCATCACAAGTGCCACACCATGCCTGGTTTACAAATGGCTGGGGACAGAATCCAGGGATTCATGCATGTTAGGCTGTTAACTGAGCCACATCCCAGGCCTGAGTGTTTGATATGATTTAGAAATCTCTCCTATTGGCTCATATGCTAATCAGCTGTTCCCCAGCAGGTGGCACTGTTCTGGGAGATTCTGGAAACTTTTTGAGTGGGGCTTAGTTGAAGGGAGTAGGTCACTAGGAGGCAGTCTGAAGGGTTTGCGTAGTACTCAGTCCCTTTCTTGTGCTCTGCCTCCTGTCCACCATGAGATGAACAGTATCTTCCTGAACATGTTCTTAACTCCATGACCTTCTGCCTCACCACAAGCCTAAATCCAGGAGGGCCAAGGACTGTAAACTGAACTCCCAGAAACCGTAAGTAAAAATAAATAGCTCCTCTCTTGGATTCTTTATGTTGGGTGTTTTGTCAGAGCAACAAGAAAACTAATACAGATAGGGTCCCGTGGGTGAGCAAACACATCTATAAGAGCAAGGACTAGGTGCTGGTCCTTCAAGGAACCCAGGAGGTGAGCAGCCCTTGAATACATCTGAATCTTCACCCAGAATCCCACAGTGAGCCTGGCAGGTGGGAAACCCTGCCCATTTCTGTCTTGGAATCGCTACAGAATGTCCGTCCCACCATCCCAGAAGACTGACTGATCTTCCATCATCCTGTAGTGAATGTTGTCTCCCAGTCTGAGAAGGATCTTCCCAGGTATCCCTGGGTGTGAGAGTCAATGTTCACTGTCAACTTGATAGGATCTATAATCACATAGGAGATAAACCTCTGGGCATGTCTGTACGGGAGTTTCTAGGTTCAGTTAATGGAAGTGGGAGGAGCCACCTTGAATGTGAGCATCACCATCCCACGGGTTGGGGAGAAACAAAAGAGAGAAAGCAAGCTGGCTAGGAACACTCATCTCTCTGCTTCCTGACTGTGGATGCAATGTGAGCAGCTACCACAAGCCCCTGATGCTGTGGCTGCCCTGCCACGATGAACTGTACCCTAAAACTATGAACCAAAGTCAGCCTTCCTTCTTAGCTGCTTTTGCCACAGCGATGAGAAAAGTAATGTAACCGGTGTGACTTTGTCCTTGCTGGGTTCTTTCCCAGACTTGCTACTCTCTATTTCCAGCATCCGGAGTCCCAGGAGGACTCCTTCTCCCCTTCCTTAAGCACACGTTTCCGTGAGGCTGCAGTATGCAGGGTCCTTGTCTACACAGTGGCTTCTCCGGTATTAGTGGCTGGTGACTGCTTCCAGAGTCTATTAGTCACCTGAGAAGAGGGACTCAGAGATGGCCGGGGGTGGCCAAGCCACCAGAGCACTGGCCAAAGGCTCCAGTCCATGTGATAGATGACCTTGCCTGCCTGGCCAGACACAATGAGGTGTCAGAATGTCTGAGAGCCTTCTGGAGGTGATGTTGGGCGGGGCTGTAGAACAGTCAACCTAGAACTGGCTGAGGCCTGGTAAGAATGCCTGGGGTAGGTAGGAGTCCCTGCCAGCTGGCTCAGAGACACTCTTCGTGTCAGCCAGGTCCCGGGCTGGGGTGGAACCATGCCAGACTTGAGCTATGCATAGCAGACATTCTGGAACTGGCTATTCCAACAGCCCAGGTGTCATGAGGTGTCAATGTTTTGGGGGGGTACTTGTTTGAACAATTTTTATATTATATTTTGTGGATTTTAGAGGTTTACTATATCTTCAAAAGATGAAAAGAGAGTTAGTAGGGTGCTCTAGCTCCATGGGGGAAGTGCTTGCCTAGCATGGACACAGTCCTGAGTTCCAGCCTCAGCACCAAGTAAACCAAACATAATCGTGCAGACCTGTGATTTCAGCACTCAGGAATGGAGACAAGAGGAGCAGAAGTTCAAGGTCTTCTTTGACTACCAGAGTTTGAGGCTAGCCTGGGCTACATGAGACCCTGTCTAGAAATAACGGAAGAGAGGGTGTGGAAGAGGGAGAGAAGGAGGCAGGAATAAAAAAGAAGGGAAGAGAGGAAGGGAGGGAGGGAAGAAAGGGAGGGAGAGAAGAGAGGGAGGGATGGAGGGAAGGAAGGAGGGAAGTAGGGAGGGAGGGAGGGAGGGAGGGAGGGAGGGAGGGAAAAAGGCACAAGGCCACTCAAAAGCCATACAATTGATGTGACGAATGGCTCAGAGGAGAATGGCTATGGAGGTGACATCCCAGACAGCCTTGCAGAGAGCTCTTCCCCAGCCACACAGAAAAGTGCCCGGGGGCCAGGGATCTGTTAGCTACTAACACGCAGAGCAGTTTGGAGTGTTTTTGAGAAGCTATGAAGACTTATGTGTCAGCTACTCTAGGAGAACAGGGTTATAATAAGTCACAGTGAAGAGACAATGGTCTGCTGCCACTCACGGGAGGGTATAGGCCCCTCTAAACGTGGACGCCCCTGAGTCTGCTCCAGGCACACCCGGCACCAGGTGTGCCTGTGCCTTGCCTAGAGCTGGCCCCAGAGGCAGGTCTAGGATGAAGCTGGACTGGGGAAAGGAGGAAGGTCTAGCTGGGAGGACGGGACCTTGGGGATCTTCATGGCCCCAGCTAGCAGGGTCACAGCGAGCCAGCCCTCTGCCGACTTTCACTTTTCCCTGCACTGACCCACAAGGGCCACCCTTCAGTCCTTGGCTTATTTATAAATCAGCGCAGATGGCCTGACGATAACCTGGGGCTATTTCTGGAGCATATGACATAGGAGTTGGAACAGCCTTCTTCTGGGGTCCTGCACCTGCTCATGGAGGTCAGCGGGGACCCACAGTTCCTCTGTGTCTGAGAAGAGCATTTTAGAACTTGATACAAGTGGTTGCGTAGTATGACCAATGGTAGGGGACTGTAAACCTCCAAGGTGTTGATTTAAGATGAATTTCATCTCCATAGAAAAGCACAAAAGTACAAAAGATCCCGTGCCTTCCCACTCAGGCTGGGGGAGATCAGCCCACTGGCAGAGACCAGAAGAAATCGGCTAGCATGCCCCACTTGAAAGGAAGCACAGAGCACCAAGGTCCAGAGAGGTGCAGAGCTTGCTGGAGGTCACACAGGCCCTATGTGACAAAGCTGGATGGATAACCAGCTCGGTTATGACTACAGAATCCACAAACATCTGGCCACCACACTATCCTTCTGGAACATTCTTCTCATAGGGAGAGCTGGCAACTTCCCCTAGCCTGCTCCCAGAGGGTGATGGCCTCTGTAAACCAACTAATAAACACCCCAGGAGAGTGGCGACCAGGGTCATGACCCTGAGACATTCCCACAGAGTGGACTTGGTCACCTAACTCAAAAGAGCTGGAGAGTTAATTTTTTATTTGTAGTAAGTATTCCAGGCTTGATGATACTCCATGGATGGCATTTCCTGTAATTTGTCTAGCTTTCAAACATTAACCGCTACCCAGGAGAATCAACAGCTTAACCATTAACCCCAGGCCCCCAGCAGAGTTCCCTGACCAAGTGCATGAACAAGATGGAACCTTAGGAGGGATTGAGGGCTGAGTTCCTTAGGAACCCACTGAAGTGGCAGGCAGGATGAGGGGCACACCTCAGCCCCTCCCGGGCCTTGCATCGGGTTCAGAGCACATGACACCTGCCTGGTTCTAGAACAACCCTCAACCTGTGTGTGTGTGTGTGTGTGTGTGTGTGTGTGTGTGTATTCCAATGAATTTGTGTATGTGTGTGTGCCGGTGTATTCATGTGTGTGTGTGTTCCTGTGTATTCATGTGAATGTGTGTTTCTGTGCATTTGTGTGCATGCATGTATGTTCCAGTGAATTCATGTGTATTCATAGGTATGTGTGTATTTGTGTGTGTGCGCATATGTGTGTATGATCCTGTGTATTCATGTGTGTAGGGTGCATGTGCAAGTCAGAAGGCAACCTCAGGATACCGTCATCCTGCTTGCTGAGTCAGTCTCTCATTGGTCTGGAACTCGCCAACATGGCTACTCTGGCTGTACAGTGAGTCCCGGTGCATATCCCTCCAGTCCGGCACTGGGACTGCAAGTGCATGTCACCATGCCTGGCTTTTAAAACTGTGGGTTCTTGGGATTTGACTCAGGTCCTCATGTCTGCAAGGCAAACACTTAACTGACTGAGCCATCTCCCCAGGCCCAGGTTCTTTTCCTAATGATGCACTCTTAGATGATAGACTACAGAGCAGATAATAGGGATACAATTAGCACTAAACAATTCAAACTTACAACAGTGTTGATTGATGATAATGATAGGTATTTATTTCTTTATTGACTGACCGTGGTGCTATGGATTGAACAGAGGGTCTTGCCCTGTACGGTACTCATTTTACCACACTTATCTCCATTCTAGAGATCAGAGAGCCAAGCCTCAGAGGGTTAAATAGTTTGTTATAGTCACACAACCAACAACTGCCAGTCGGTGTTCCCTAAAAAGAATGCTGAGGTGATTCGTGGTACCCTCATGGGAGTAGAAGGGTGCTATACATACATGGGCATATTTGCTAAGATGCTCCCTGGCAGGGCTGGAGATGGCTCAGTGGTTAAGAGCACTTACTGTTCTCGCAGAGAATCCAAGTTCACGTCCCAGCACCCATACAGTGGCTCACAACCACCCATAACTTCAGTTCCGGGGCATCCGATGTTGTTTTCTGGGCTCCTCAGGCACCAGAAATGCATATGGGACACATACATACTTGTGAGTAAAATCTCATACATACAAAATGAAATAAATAAATGAAAAACAAACATTTTAAAATTGTAAAGATGCTTCCTAGCCCTCTCAGGGCTTTCAGCAACCCCTCAGGAGTCATCCGGCAACCAGAGACACGCATCTCCATCTGGGGCAGCATGCCGTCCTCTAAGCATGGTGCTCTCAGGCAGTCTGTTTCGAGTCTGGGTCTGCACCGTCAGCAACAGATGGGTTCTCTTCCCCCTGCTCCAGCCATCCTACCCCTCCCATCCTACCTGCCTCTCCCACAATGCACCAAGAATGTGGACGAGAGAACAATGACCCCATGAAGCACTTCCCACCAAACCTTCCCTTTGGGTTTCGGAGGTGGCTCAACAATTAAAATGCTTGCTACACAGACATCAGGACTTGAGTTCAAAACTCCAGAACCTCCATAAAGCCAGGTGTAAAACTACACATGTGTAATCCCAGAGTTCCTGTGGGAGGAAGAAGCAGAAAAATGCCTGGCAGCTCTCCAGCCAGCTAGCTAGCCCGGCATGGGCAGCAGTGTTGAGGCCTGGTCTTAAACAACCACCAGTTTTCCTCTGACTTCTACACCTATGCCCTGGCATGTGTGTCCCTACACACACACACACACACACACACACACACACAGATGTAGCATACACGCACCTGAAGATTTATAAACCAACAAACTGTGTGCGCAGACACAGATGGCGAGGAAGCATTGGATGTCCCCAGAAAAAGGAGGTATGAAGCTTCCGAGTCCTCGTAGACCGTGTCCCCTATCTGACAGCTGATGGATCCGACAAACCTGGACCCACCCTCGACAGCCTGCCTGGTCCTGAGGACAAGTTCCCTGCTCCAGATGACTGGACAGGAGCCACCTTCAGAGTTCACTGGGCTGAGGGGGACCTCCTACCTGCTACCGTCTCCAGGCCCAGACCTCCTTCCTTGTCTTCGGAGAGTTCCTGCAGACACTGGGCCCGTTCCTCCTGCAGCACACGCAGCACATCACACAATCGGGGCAGAGCTCCCACCTGTGGTGGAAAAGCACGGATTGTCGTCAGCGCTGCTGACGGACCCTGCTTCCGCAAGCAAGAACAAAGGGTGGCGCGGGTAAGAGGCTCCACTCCCACACCGGTCTCCAACATCAGCTCCAGCACAGCGGTGGGGACGACCTCGTCACCACTACAAAGACCCGACTCCCCACCCGGCTTCTGTGAAGAAGGGCAACTTGGCTTCTTCCAGGATGGGGTCAAAGTCGTCTCTACGGGTACCAGCCCTCTGCCTCATGGCCAGGAATGAGAGAGAAAGAAAAAGAAGAGCATCGGGGCCACACCCCTCTTCACAGGTACACCTACAATGACCAGGAAGCCTCCCACCTGTCCCCACTTAAGACTTCCACCATCTCCCAACAGCACCAAGCTTGGGTAGCTCTTTAACACATGGGATTTGGCGAACATTCCAGACTCAATTTTTAGAAAAAGATAAAAAAAATTAAGTGTAATTCTAGCAAACATACACAAACTTGTGTGATAAGAAGTGTACAATGTTGGTAGCTATGAATGGGGGATGTGCATGAGTGCAAGTGCCCATAGAGGCCAAAAGAGGGCGCCAGACCCCTGGAGCTGGAGGTGCAGGCAGTTAAGAAGCCAGGCACCTGACTCAGAACCAAACGGCGCAGGAATATAAGTACACCGTCTTAGAGCCAGCTCTCTAGTCCCAGCTCTCCAACTCTTAAACCAACACTATGTCTTGGGTTCCTGGGATATCCCAAACTTTGTATTAAGGAAGTTCAATATTTAGATGTTTTAAATTCTCCCTGGAGATATTTCTCACCCCCGAATTCCGTACACTCCGTTCATATCACTTTTAATGAAAATGCTCAGTGTTTATAATGGCTTCTTTTGACAATGAAATATTGTTAGCTGTTGAGACTAGCCGCATAAGAGGATTATGTGTCCTTGGGCACTTTGTCCCGCCCCCCCAGGTCAATAATTGCTGTTTTTTCATTCGATTAGTTTCTGTGTGCCTGAGCTGACTCTCCCTTCCTCCCTCCCTCCGTTTGTCTGGAGTCCCGGATGGTTGAATGTGGGCCATCTGCAGCAGCCCTCTAGTCTGTCATCCTTCTGAACTTGTTTTCCTCCATTTCCTCTCTGCGGTCGTTCCATGAAAGACTTCCTTGGTATTATCTGTGGAAGCTCTTTCATTTGTTTAGTTCTCTTGTGATAACATAAATGCCAGGCTAGCCTTAAACTCCCTATGTAGCCAAGGGTGACCTTGAACTTCTGATTCTCCTGTCTCCGTCCCACTCTACCCCCATGCGCAGTGCTAACAGCCTCTGGGGCTTGAAGCTAGGGTTTTGTGCATGCTAGGCAAGCATTACACCAACTAAGCCACACCCTCAGGCCCACTTTTATTTTTTTAGTCTACAAATTTTAATCCAATTATGGTATTACCAGGGTATACCCTGTACTAATTTCCTTTTTTAAAAGATCTGCTTATTTTTATGTTTATATATGTACCTCCATGAAATTATGTGCACTGTGTGTATGCAATGCCCACAGAGGCCAGAAGAGGGCTCTGATCCCCTGGAACTGGAGTTAACGGGCAACTGTTAGCCAGTGGGTACTGGGAATTGAACCCTTGTCCTCTGCAAGAGCAGCAAACACTCTTAACCACTGAGCCATCTCTCCAGCTCCAGTGATTTCCCTTTTAAAGAACTGGTACTTGACCTGCCATCTGTGTGAGGCTTTCCACATCCAACCGTGTCTTTGTGGGGAATGCCACCCTCTGTCCTAACACTCAGTTAGGTTGGGTATGCTATCACACACAAGCTCACATTTGCTGCTGGCGGTTCTCTGACAGCTACCATCTCTGTCTTTGGGATGCTTTCCAAATGTAAGACGTGTTTTACTAAAGCTTCTTGGCCTGAGAGTCAAGAATTGCTCCCTGGGAGCAGCCAGTCAGCTCTGTGTTTGTTGCTGTGTGTCCCCATATCACTGATTAACACAAAGGAGGGGAAAAACACCCAGTTTGGGACAATCTGTGTGCTCTTGGATTCTTGGCCCTGCAATGGAGGTGAAATGTCAACCTACGCCGTTCACTAAGTTGATGGACTTGAAGCCATGGGCAGCCATAGTCTGTCCTTGAGAAAACAATGGAAGAATCCAGCCCCACTTGGAGGTGGTGAGGGGATAATGAAGCAAACATCAACAGAAGAAGAGAACAATGGCGAGTTCTATTAGCAGTTGTGAGTTTAAAGGAGTGCGCCACCAACACCCGGCTAAAACTCCGCTAAATTCTTGGGCTTAGTGAAATGCTGTGCAAGCTTGAGGAAGGACCTGGGTTTGGATCCCCAGGACTCAAGACCAAGGCAGTTTGTTGCAGTAATTCCAAGGCTGGTGAGATAGAGACAAGAAGCTTAAAGAGAATCCCTGGGTCTCATTTGCCAGCCAACCTAGCTGAATTCCCAGCATCTTAAAACAGTAAGGTGAAAGGCCGGGCATTGGTGGCGCACACCTTTAATCCCAGCACTAGGGAGGCAGAGGCAGGCAGATCTCTGTGAGTTTGAGACCAGCCTGGTCTACAAGAGCTAGTTCCAGGACAGCCTCCAAAGCCACAGAGAAACCCTGTCTCGAAAATAACACCACCACCACCAACCAAACACAAACAAAAAAAACAGTAAGGTGGGGGCTGTGGGGATGGCTCCGGAGATAAAGTGCTGTTCTCCAACCACAAGGACCACCAAACCACGTAAATGCCCGGCAGGCATGGTGGTCTTGTGTGTGATAGCACCAACCTCACCTAGGAAGTGGCAACAAAAGATCCCTAGGGGTAAATAATTGTCAAGCTGTGGGCTCAGTGAGAGGCTGCCTCACATAATAATGTAACAGGGCTGTGGTGACGGCTCAGCAGCTAGAAGCACTTGCTGTTCTTGGAGAGGACCAGTTCTCAGTACCCGTATTGGGTGGCTAGCAGTCACCTGCAACTCCAGCTCCGGGGGATCCAACGCCCTCTTCTGGCCTCCTCGGGAAACTGCACTCATCTGATCATCCTCCCATGTAGAAATGCATGCTTACACATACATAAAAATAAAATAGATTTAAAAAATAAAAAATTATGGAGAGTGATTAAGGGAAACACCCAACATCAACCTCAGGCATGTGCACACACACACACACACACACACACACACACACACACACAGACACAGTGGGAGCTCAGTGAAGAGCTTTGCTTAACTGTGGCAATCATTTGATAATGTGCATCAGAACACTGAGCCCCCACAAACACATGTGATTTTTAGTTGTGTGTGTGCATGTGTATGTATATGCATATATATACAAGTGTGTGCACATATGAAAGTCAGAGGACAACCTTGGGTGTCATGCTCAAGAATATCATCTACCTTCTTGGACACAAGGTCTCCCATTGACCTGAAGCTCACTAATTAGGCTAGACTGTGGGATCAGGGACTCTCCTGTCTCAGTTTCCATAGTGCTGAGGTTATAATCATGAATGGACCACCATGCTTGATACTTGACTTGGTTTATAGGGATGATAATCAACGTGAAGACAAGCCCACACACAGCTGGCCACCAGGGGGCAGAGGTGGGACCATGGAAGGAAGGGTCCAGACCTGAAGTGGACAGCTAAAGAGTGGGAAACTCTAACCTCACTTCCGAGTGGACCATGAAGAATTCAGACACAGAATCGGGAATGGGAAGGATCTCTTCCCATCTTGGTGCTATTTGGAAGGTTGTAGAACTTTTAGAAGGCAGGAGCTAGTAAAGGTTAGGTCAATGGGGGTTGTCTTAGTTTTGTTTCTGTTGCTGTAATAAAATACTCTGACAAAAGCAAATGAAGGGAGAAAGGGACAATCTGAGCACACAGTTCCATGTTACAGTCCATCCTGGGAGTGAAGTCATGGCAGCAGGAGCTTGAGTGAGATGGTCACATGACATTCACAGTCAGAAGAAAACAGCAGTGAATGTATGCACACTAAAGCTCTGTTCCTTTCTCTACTCTTATTAATCAGAACCCCCAATCGGAGCATGGCGACTCCCTCAACAATATTCCACCTTAATTAATATGATCTGAATAATCTCCCAGAGACATGCCCACAGACCAACCCAATCTAGACACCCCTCAATGACATTCCCTCCCCAGAGATTCAAAGCTAACCACCACATGGCGAACCTTCAAAGGGGACTTCGGGCACCAGCCCCTTCCTGTCTTCATTTTGCTTTCTGGCTATGAAATGTGAAGTTTTGACGAACTTCCACCATGATGCTGGCCTCAGCACAGGCCCAGAGCAACAGCCTAACTCACCATGGACTTGCACCATGATGCTGGCCCTGAGCAACAGGCTAATTCACGGTGACTCTCCAAAACTTTGAATCAAAATCAACCTTTTTCTTTATAAGTTGATCATTCCATGTATTTGTTTTAAAAACAAAAAGGTGAGCAACACAGGTAGGCAAGGTGTAGGGGTTGGGCATAACAAGAGAGCAGTACTCCCTCCTTAAATAGTGGCATGGACTGAATGTTTATGTCACCCCAAATTCATACACTGAAGCCCTCACACCCAGTGTGGGTATGTTTGGAGACAGAGCCACTCAGAATGTAATGGATGTTAGTACGATCAGTGAGGGTAGAGGCTGGATCCTAAAGGATTTGTGTTTTTGTAAGAAGAGACAATATCCACCCAGAATGCTCCCTGGAGAGGTCACATGAGGGCAGAGTAGCTACCTAGAAGCCAGGAAGTGAATCCTCAGTAGATTCCACACCTGCCAGACCTGGATCTAGACTTTGGCTCCAGAACTGAGGAAAGGAAGCCTTTGCTGTTTATGCTAGTCAGTCTGTGGTGTGTGTGTGTGTGTGTGTGTGTGTGTGTGAGAGAGAGAGAGAGAGAGAGAGAGAGAGAGAGAGAGAGAGAAAGAGAGATCAACCGATCAACCTGCCATATTATTAGTCTTCGCATGCCTTGTTTTTTGTTTTCTTTTTATTTCTTTGTTTTGTTTTGAGGCAGGGT